TTCGTCGCAACTTTGACAGCTTGGGAAACGTGCCGGTACGGTGCCAAAGTACGCGTAAAGTCGCGATCGATCGGTCGAATTTTCATACGCACAATACGGTTAATTGATTTTAGTGAACATCAACCGACGGTAACACGGAATTAGGCCATTATGGATTCTAACACAATAATATGTCAAGTGCCGGGCAAATTATTGGCAAAGCGTCTCCACACGAGCGTAATGCAGTGTTGAAACGGCCAGGCGAGTCATACTGGGCAGAATCTGCCGATAATTGCCAGGTAACGAAAGCGAACGAGAGTAAGAGATGCTTTGACAGAGATTTTCCAATGGAAAGACGAACTGGCGAATTCCCAGAAATCTCTATTTTCGAAAGAAAGGAGCGGGGGGAGGGAGAGGAAGCATGATCGCGTTTTAACGTGACACAGACGTTACGCACGAATTGCTCTCAATCATAAACGCCTGCGTTCTAAACGATAGCTTAGCGCTCGGATTTTGAAAGGATCAGACAGCCGAGCAGATCCGAGCAGCCAAGTGGTAAAGGATGGGTGGTAACGGTGGAAAACGCGAAAGAGGAGAACGAAAGAGTAAGAGACGCGAGTTATGCGCTACAAGCGGAACCAACACAGGAAGCTCATTAAGTTGCACCCCGCGGCTGAGCCGTGCACAGAGAGATACACCAGGTGCCCCTTTTACCCCCTTCAGTACGCTCGGCGAATCCCCACCTGTTTCGCTTGGCCTGTTGTTTGCCTCGATGCGCGACGCACGCCTTCTACGCATTCAGTGTCACCTTCGTTAGGCGACATTGAGAAAAAATTATGATAATGACGATCGCGCCCGAGGGAATTCCCGCACTGCGCTTTCTCCGAGATTCGAGTGCTTTTCTCTTCTCTCTCTGTTCTTCCTTGAATACCGTGAAGAGAGAGAGAAAGAGAGAGAGACAGAGAGAGAGAAAGGGTCTCTTTGCTCGCTTAGCGACGAAGCCACGCCGAACCCATTCAACCGTTCTCTCTCCGCGGCTAAATAAAAAATTTCGAACAACCACGAATACAATATAAATCAGTATAGCTGGCCACAGGCTTCTATCACCGGATAAATAGAAAATAGAAACGCACGGAGATTTCTTTTTTCTCTCTCTCCCCCCCCCCCTCCCGCTCTCCCACGCTTCTCCTTTTTCCTTTTCTCTCTTAGCGTCCCAATTTTCTGTACTTTCATTCTCCTCGTTTCTCCTCCTTTTTCTCCTTCTCGCGCGAGGACATGTTCGATCTGAGAAAAATTTTATTTCCCGTTGGTTAGAACCTAATTATACCTGCTTGTCGTTCTCACTCAATCAGACGCGATACGACTCTGTAATACGAAATTTCGCTATTTTCTCCCCCTTTCGTGGGGCGAAATTGAATTCGACTAGTTGCTCTCGCGTCTCAACTTCCGACCAACTATCGTCACTTTAGCCATGGAACCAGCTGCCTCGCTGAACCTCGCATCCGTTGACTTCTCTCTCTCTCTCTCTCTCTTTCTCTCCTTTTTTTTCTTCCTTCTTTTTTTTTTTTTTTATCTTCCAACTTCACTCGACGAGTAACGCTCGCAACTACGCGCGAGTATACAAATCCTAGAAGATAAATCTTTACAAGTCGAGTCAGGGTGAGAAACGAAAGAAGAGGTGCGACTGTAATAATTACCGACATCCGCCGATATATTGAATAGCAGCTGATGGTGAAAGGTAATAGGGGCACACACCAATAACATCTAACGGAGAACAGTATCATCAGTCAATCTGCTGGCACGGCATGTTTATTACGGGCACGAGTTACTGTCGGTGGAACAAATGCTTCTACCGAACGGAAAGCCACTCTAGCCAAACCTGTCCATTATTCCTGTCGTTCACTTTCGTCACTTCCCCTATATAACATCCCTCGTCACGATGCAACGTGTGCCACGATGAAAGGGTGCGAGAAACAAGCGCGCCGCTGTTGAAATTAGAAGTGGACTGCAATAAGGCGGTTCGATTTTCACGGTGCGCCAGGGAAAACGTCGTTGATTAATCGTGGATCATCTCTTTTTTTTTTTTTTTTTGCTCTTCTTCCTCTTTTTTTTTGTTTTCTTTTTTAATTCTTTTCTTTTCCCCTTCAATCCTCTCCTTCTCTTTTTTCCTTTTTTTTTTTCGTCGCTTGCCAATTTTCACTTGTCAAATATTTTTCATCGAACAAGCGATTCCAAATCTTTGAAAAATTTTGTGTTTGCGCCAATGAACGTGATCGAATCGGAACAAACATCGTAGTGAAGCTCGATGAAATTAAAGCACCTTTTAATTGGAGAATAACCGTGGATGCAGAATAGCCAATTTCGAAACGCCGAACGGGAGAAAAAAAGCGATTTATCTTTTTTACAACAACTTTCAAAGCTTTTTACGTCATGCGTTTTACGTTCTTTCTGTTTTCCGCTGTTATTTGATTTTTTTCTCTCTCTTTTTTCTTTTTTCTTTTTTTTTTTCTCTCTCTAATGGTCAGAAATTTCCTGCCCGTTTAATATCTGTTCACCCCCGTGCAAATTCAATATCCCCGGCAGTCACATTCTTATTCAATCCTCCGGACTACGTCTAGTTTCTAATATATCTCTTCTGGATATTTTCTTTTGTTCGAAAACACAACGAACGCGTATATATAGCATAATGTTGATAAAATGAACTTAATTTACAGAGCGTGTAAGAACACTGGTTTAGATACAAAAGCTATTACCAGCTAGGAGGTAGGTTAAGGAAAAAATGTGCATAAACGCGGATCAGGACTACGTTAATGGTAATTGTTGTAAGCTGAAGTTTGCATTAAAACGTCAACTTTGTGTTCCGCGTTGCGTTTCATCCACTTTCATTCTTCAAGGTACTAAAAATTAAAAAGAAAAATCCATATGATTCGTTTATAGTACCCACAATGGAAATCTGTTTACGAATTATCCGTACGTACCAATAACGTAAAAGAAAGGGATTGCATTCACGGCATTGCGCATCTGGACTGAGAAATATCTAGGAATCTTCTATTTTGATTGCACGGATAGGAATAAGATATCTGTTTCGCATATAGTACATACGTACGAAGGAAATGAGATTTGCTATGCATAGAAAAATAAACTGAACCTTGTTTCCATTTCCTGTTACAACTATATAAAATCCAATAGGCGTTCAACAGGGTATATAACGGTGTTCGAGGTGGTAGGGATTTATCCGTTTCCATGGAGGTATCCAATTTTTCTCATCTCTCTATCGAGGGTTTTGTAATTAAGTGGAAAAATTTCGAGAAGAAAAAAAAAAGGAAAAAAAAAAGGCGGATGAGTCGGAGATGAAACGGGACAGGACGCGATTGTCAGCCCCCCCGTCAATGTCAATTCCTAAATTTCACTGGTTCTCGAATTTCCTGTACTAATTATTTCGAAAGTCGTTTCACTGCAACGCTGCTTGATGGAGAGCAGGGAGGGGGGGGGGGGGAACCGGATAACGGAAACATCGTAGCAGTTTTATTTAATTCAATCTTGAAAACTTTTAACTAAGGAAGACTTCGTAGACATCACTTACTGCCTTTCTTTTTCTCTCCGCTGTCTCTCTACCCGCGCGCCGCCATCCCTTCTATTTCCCTATTCTCATTCCATCCCCCTACCACTCCTCGACCTCGCACTTCCACTATCATCGCGACATTGCCCAAATTTTGAACATTAGTTTGCGAACCATTTAGCACAACTACTCGGCGCTTGCGAGCGTAGTTCGAATCACGGCACATGCATCGGCGTGCAGCTTAAACCGCAATGCTTAGTACCGTAGTGCTCGCCGGGTATAGTCATTGTACATTATGCTTGGCGACTCTTCATCCCTGTGGCAAAGCGTGTAATAGCATTCACACGGGACATGTGCAAAAGAGAGTTGGAAAAAAAAAAAGATCTCACTTCACCTTCAGCGAGGAGAGAATGAAACGCGAAAACTATGATGCAGAAGAGAGTCGTTCGTTTTCACGACGATTGGCCGACACGATGATAATTCGAGATAATTAGAAGATTGGCTACGTATGATCGTAAATAAATTTTTCAAGCCAATTCTAGAACTTCACTCGACGATAATAAATACGCGTTCTATATTTAACAAAATATATCTTTACACCTGAGACATTTGTGATTATTCAACGACGCAAATACTTGGAAATTAAAGATCTGTCTTTTTATCATTTCAACGTTCTTTAATTAATGGTATTCTGCATGATGGTACGCGTATGTCATGAGTTTTGAAATTTTCCAGAAAGGTATAAAAGTGAGTTGGCTTCGAATAAACCACGCAGCTCTTTTGATACAAGAAAAGAGCGCAATTTCACGTTACGCTTAAAAGCAACGCTTACGTTAGTTAATTGCCGTAAATGTAAGAGTTAGTGCGTCTTTTCTAGAAATATTAATTACCCCCTTACTACCCGTGGCATATTAATTTCAACTGACGAAAGTAAAATGTTCACGGCGTCTGCTTTAAATCGAATATACCATCGTAGTGTTTTAGAAAATTATCGGGAAATTAATAGGAAAATGTAAATTATTGTAAGGAATCAAGATTTAATTCCTCTTCCGTTTTAAGTTTTAAAGTTCACGCTGCTATTTAACGGCGCATACTGATTTAAATTCGATATAAATTATCGAGCTATATTTAAACTTTAAATTACGCTTCTTCTCATACGCATCGGATTTATTAGAATGATAATTCTATTGTAAAAATGAAATTTAAAAAGCGTTTTTTAATATTGACCGTTGTATAATGAAGTAATAATGATTTCCTAATAATGATTTCCTAATGTAATAATGTAAGTAATAATGATTTCCTAAAAATAAACGTTATCTTCTACGACAATTCGTAATTTTGTATTTTGAATAAAAAATTCTATACTACCCGCTAAATGTAACCATGAAACTTCTTTCTCTTAAAATTAGAAGAAAACAAAGTACGATTTAAAACTAAAGAAAAGGAAAATGATTTTACTCACCGCGCGTAAACGCGTGACGAAATTTAATATTGGACCTTGTCAGCCAATGACACAATGATCTGAGGGCATAACTGTTGCTCTTCTCGAAATGATGCACGAATGTCAAGATGTGGCGCGTACCGTACTAACGGACAGACGGTGCACGACTGTGCGCCGAACACCCTCGCAATCTCCCTTTTATGGGCTTTCTCACGGCGCGTCCGCTCGTACGTCGACTATCGCTACTTCTCTGTCCTTTACACTCCCCATCAAATCGTACCTTTTACAGAAGTATAATTTATTATTTAGCACAATTATTTTTTCCACAAATTATTTTTCGGTTAATTCAACACCATCTGCGTTACAAAAATAAATTAAAATTTTATAAAAATTTATAAAGGGAATAATTAAATATAAAACACTGTTGTAATTTTGGTTGAAGTAAAACAACTTTTTATTCTACAGTTCGGGCACGTACAATGTCTTGTAATAAAAGGTATATGAACACATTGTTATGGTAACTTTCTTTTAGCTGGTTCTTCGTGTACCCTGACTTGAAGCGTGGAACGTGGACCACACTTCCACACGTTGCCATCTTTGTCAAGTATACTCGCACTTGCTGTGACTTGATACTGTCCACCACTACTATTCATGTTATTGTTGACATTAGTAGTATTACTTGCACATGCTGTTGGAGCCGTACCTGGACTCCCTAATGAAAGTAGGAATTCACAAGCGAAGAAATCGCGATGTGGCATGACGGTCTGTTGTAATTCATTCGCGTTAGAATCCTACAAATAAGCATGAATTTAGTATAAAAGTATAGTATATTTACTATAACAAATATTAATTTGTACCTTCTGATCTGAATTAATCTTTGATGGAGGCGTAGTAGAAATAGAAATACAAACAGCAGCGACAGAACGATACAGAGAAGCGCGCCGACCATGTCGTAATACCCCTTCGACTTTAATCGCTAATTGACTTCCTTGAGGAACAGACACCGGTTCACCGAGAACACGAGGTTGTGGTGAAACAGATAACTTGACACTAGTTGCTTGCAAAGCTTGGAAATAATACCGGGGTATGGGTAATCTCATTTTTGTTCCAGCTAATAACATCACTTGCGAGACTAAGCAGTTTATTCTCGAATGACTGAGCGCTGCTGCTTTATTTTCGCCTATATACGTTGGCGCTAAACGACGTAACTCGGTACAACAACGAGCCAACTGACGCATTTCTACAGTATCGCCAAAATTAAAATTAATTTCGCTCTGATGATACGTTTGAATTCCTGTACCACCGCAAACACGCTCGACGCTATTTGCTAACAAACGACAGATTTCTTGTAATCTGTATACGGTAAGTCAAGAAAAACCACACTGAAGATATAAATCAGAAGTTGAATACGTATTATAAAGGATACGCTCGTATGTTTGTTAATGATCCAGGGTCAGCATCAAAAGCTGATTGATAAAGTTTCTGGTAATTCTCTGCGCAGTTTTTGAGTTCTTGAGCTGATTTTCTCAACTTTTAAATAGACATCATTGTAAATAATATATTCAAAATGAGACTGAAAATGTAAAGTAAGATAAAATACCTGATTAGTGACACGTCCATATCGTTGCAGATCATCTTTTGTAGTTAGAACTACTGTACATGTAATAGCAGGTGGTGGAGCTGTACAAAGAGATCTAACACATATTTATATTTATATGGTTTCTAAAAATAAGGAGTAACAATAATTTTGTGATGTTTATTTAAAGTACCTGCACGAATGTAAAAGCTGTACAATAGCTTGAAGAAATTCACACCGTAATTTCGAGTACTCGCTAGCAAATTGTAAACTTCGTAATGGTGTACTAGCAGCTTTTAATGAAGCGCACGCACTCGCATAACGAGCAATAGCTCCATTTAACTTCTCCACGGTATGAACTCTTGCTTTGCTCTCTATTTCTTCTGTTTTTTCCCTGTAATGATTTGAGGAACAGCGATATATTTTTATAAAATGAGTTATTGAAAACAAATAAAGACTAACACAAGAAAACTTTCAGCTTTTGTAACCAATTCTAAACCAGATAACCAAAAATGTAATTGTTCAGATGCAACTGTTTCCTTTAAACTCCTAAATATTTGAGTTGCTATCAAATGGTGGCCATATCTTGCGGCACTACGCGCAATCCGATATTTCGCCCACCCATCTACATTTTTAATAACATCTTCTATTGCTTCCAAACATTCTGAATTCCATTCATATCCTCCAGTTACCATTTGAAATAGTAACGTACATAACATTACCTTTAAAAGAATTTGTTTAAATTTATTAATGTCTTATAAAACACGCATATATTTTGTTTAACTTTACCTTCGTATGTACATGTACAGTTTGTTTAAGCTTTGTTAATATATCTGGTAAAAGTGGGAGTAATGTATTTTCTCCTAAACTTCCAATGGCACCCAATGCTTCACATAAAGCAAGTGCTTGTTTCTCACTTTGAGTACTTTCTGCGTAAGTATTAAAAAGTGTACTACCGATAGCATCGACAAATATCGGACAATGACTAGGTTGCGCTCGACATAATTTTACTGTTGATCGTAAACAAACTTTTAACTGATGTAAATACTTGTCATCCAACGCCAATACTACAATTAAAGATTCAAGACAAGATACAACATCCTGTATACCATAGGCTGGTAAATTTTCTTCATAGCTGTAAATAAAAGATTAGACTGCAGCTATACTATAAATCAATTCTTCATTCTAAAACTAATTAATCAAATTAAAAATTATTAGTTATGTACCAATAACATGCAACTCTTGCTAAAATAGTAATTGCCTTCACAGCAATGAAAGGATCAGGAGAGTAACAAGCATTTACACACAATGATAGTAGAGGATTTCCTTCTTCCCTATTTGCATCACATGTTACTGCACTCTGACTAAGTACCTGTATTAAATTAATAAAAAAAAATTTTTTATTATTCTTAATATCCAAAAGATTTTTTCACTGCAGTTTATATTATAAGACTGTTATGTTATATTTTGATACAATTATAGATAATAACCTCAATTACGTCTAACGTTCGTATAAGAAGATCTTTATTTCCAGCACCATCTTGTAAAAGTGTTGTTGTACTTTCTAAAATATGAAACTTATGAAACACCTCCTTTTATTTATCATATAAGATTATGTATTTATGATAATTACCTATTAAATTATTAAGTGCTCCCTGTGGCCATAAATGTGCTCCTCTCCTTGCTAATGAATGCAATAAGTGTAAAGCATGTCGTTTGATGGTTAATCTTGGATCATCTTGCAAATAACGTAACAAAAGTGCAACTTGTTGTGGAACATCAATTAATGTTGCAGAGGCTAATGTGCTTAAAGCACTTAATGTAACTCTAACAAATTCAACTGCTGGATAACTAGCAAGAAGTTCCATACACAATTCATTTACCTTTAACAAATTTACAATTATAAAAGTATTTAAATATTATTAAAAAACTTGAAGTTAATATTTACATACCATCGAAGCTGTAAAAGTATCATGATGCATATATTGTAAAATTGGAATGAGCTGTAATTTCATTGATGCTGGTGTTGCTTGGCCTCTAATCATGTCAGATATTTTGCTACACATGGAAACAGCAAACAATTTTGATTGTGCAGCAAACATTTGGGCAGCATATATTGCAGCTCCAACTTCAACTGAATCATGAGAGTCTAATGATCTTCTTATACTATGATGAACCTTGCAAATTAAGATTAATATTTCAATTTTAAAATTTATATGTGTCATAAGATACAAATTAAGATATAAAAGACTTTACCTGTTGTCTTTCTGGTATAATACCAGCTACACTGCCTAACGTTCGCAAAGTCAAAGCTCTAGCAACAGGATCATTAGAATGTATAACGCTATAAATACGTCTCACAAATTCGTCAACGTTTAAAATTTTATCTAAATGCTTTTCACTTTGTTGGCACACTCTAAGCACCCAAACACGTAAAAAGTTGCTGCCAGTACGAAAAACTTCTGCTAATTTCAACAGAGAAGAATTTATCAATATAGGAAAGGGATATTTCTCGAATAATCGAGGAAATCGTACTATGGCTTCACATTGTTCACCAATCTTCGTTGATCGCAAACCTAAAAAATATTTTTTATTGTATAATATGTAAGAAAGAAAAATTGATGAAAAAGATTGATGCAAGGTTAAGTTGATAACTATAAACGTACCTTTATCTAACTCTATAAGTGCAGTATTTGCATCTTGTTCTGGTTCACCAAGTCCTGTATCGTTAAATGCGTTCATTCGCATACCAATCATTATTTTTACAACATAAAATACAGTGAATAAAAATAAAATGTTATATTTTCATTGAATTTGTATACAACACTAATTCAGCATAAATGGACTACACGTGCTTATGTATATATATATATATATATATATATATATGTACGTATGTATGTATCATTTGTATATTATAAGAAATTATATTTTTAAAAAAAATTTGAAAAAATTGCAGAAAACATTTATAAAATATTTACTGACAGATGTTTTAATTAACCTACAATGTACTATTTTAACAAATTATAGTTTCCATATATAATATAGGCATGTAAAAATGTTTTTTATTATTATTAATTTATCATTATCAAGGCTTGATATTGTTAAGATTATTATTACAAGTTAATTATATTCGTTATCTTGATTCATATTTTATATAATTTATAATCCGAATAGTTGAGAATCACTGACACGATATATATCGAACGACTATCTCGTGGGAATATAGGTTCTATGTTCACACCAGTGTAGTTGACAATTAAACTTCGACAAGTAAAGGCGTCGTATTTACGCTTTTATAAAAATAAGAAAATAAAGGAAACACACTTTATATACAAGTCATATTTACAAAATATTAAGTTCCATAAGAATATAGTGTTGAATAAAAGATACATTTGGCCGGCTCAGCGATGGTGGATTACAGCAAATGGAAAGATATTGAGGTAAGAACCTTGGTTTTGGTCCAGTATGCTTATAGAATATTCCAGAGAGTAATAGTAGAAATTTCTATCCTTTATTCATATATTTTAAAAAATAGTTACAAAATTTAGAAGCACTTGTTATGATTATAATCAAAATTTTTTCATCCAGATATTTCTTCTTTTTAGTTCACAAATTCGAAAAAAAGGTTTACAGCATAAACTTTGTTGTACTAAATCAAATATTCTAATTTTTTCATGCATAATATTTAGTTCTTTTCTTCTGTTTCTATCAAACATTTGGGAATTGATATATCTATAATAATTTATGAAATATATTATGCATGTAAATAATATGTATGTATGATGCTAAAATTTATATTTATTAGATTTCAGACGATGAAGATGATACTCATCCGAATATTGATACACCATCATTATTTAGATGGCGTCATCAAGCAAGACTGGAAAGAATGGAAGAAAGGAGACGTGAGCAAGAGGAACATGAAAGAAAAAAAACAGAGTACGTTAATTTTTAAACATGAAGTTATGTAAATTACTTGATCATAATAATATTTTACCATTATTAATTAAAAAATTTATATTATTTACAGAACTCGACAAAAGTTGAAAGAAACAGAAGAAAAAATTAAAAAGTTAGAAAGTGAACAAAAAGGAGCAGATTTAACTGAGTTAAAAAATATTTTGCAAGATCTTGAAAAACAAGAGATGAAGATTAAAGAAGCAGAAGAGGAGATGAAAAAAAAAGAGAAGTTAACACCTTGGAATGTTGATACTATTGGTCAGGATGGATTTACAAAAACAGTGATTAATAAGAGACTACCATGCAAGGGAGATGACAATGGTTTGTCAGATGAAGAAAAAGAAAAGAAAATGAAAGAATTTGTAAAAGAAAATGAAAAGAAGTTGAAAGAATTTGGTATGCTGGGAAGGTATGAAGATAGTAAGAAATTTTTACAAGATAATCCTCATTTAGTGTGTGAAAATACAGCAAATTACTTGGTTATTTGGTGTATTAATCTAGAAATAGAAGAAGTAAGTATATAGGTATTTAAATATTTATAATATTTATAATAGATATACAATTTGTAATTGGTCCAGTCTATTTTATTAATGTATCAATAATTTCAGAAACATGATTTAATGGAACATGTTGCTCATCAATGTATATGCATGCAATGTATTTTGGAATTATCAAAACAATTAGATGTTGATCCAAGAGCATGTGTAGGTTCCTTTTTCAGTCGTATTCAGAATGCTGAATTAGAACATAGAAATTCTTTCGAAGATGAATTAAAAGCATTTAAAGAAAGAATACGTAAGAGAGCTGCTGAAAAAGTAGCAGATGCTCTTAAAGAAGCTGAAGAAGAGGAGAAAAAAGCACGTCGAGGTCCAGGTGGCCTTGATCCTGTTGAAGTATTTGAAAGTCTACCAGAGGTAGAAATAAATTTACTATAAGTATTTCTACTTATTGTTTTGATATCACATATAATTATTCTAATATTATTTTTAGCCTTTACAAAAATGCTTTGAAAGCCAGGATCATGCTTTATTGCAAAAAACGTTAGCAGAGATGCCACAAAAAGAAGCTTTTTATCACATGAAACGATGTGTTGACAGTGGTCTTTGGATACCGGATTCAAAATCTAAGGAATTAATAGACGGAGGAGTTCCTGTGGACGATACAAAAGAAACCTCGGCGGTCAATCCTGAATAACGCGTGTTTGTAAATTACATGTGTTGATTTTCATGTCTCATTTATGCAAGTATATATATTCTTCAATACTATAAATATGTTACAATAAAATATTGTCATTCGACAATGAACACAAAATTTTTACCTTTGTTGATTTTTTCTTATAGATAATATTATACTATCGTTATGCTTTAAATTACTTTAAGACTGAATTGTCGTATAATTTCGCATTACTATAAGAAATGTGAATGATACACATTGTTAATTAAACAAACAATTATCTAGTAAAATGTGATAATATATTTTATCCCAATATATTATATTGAATAATTAAAAATTACTTCTAATATGAGTTTATTGGTATTAACATTTATATGTGCTAAGTAACACATGTAGAATGCATATATGTGTATATAAATATAATTTGCTGCATTTGCGGTACGTAAATACTTTTTATCTTCAAATTGTGTGTAAGTTATATGTATATTTAAAACTGTAAACAACCTTAAAGTTGTAATGTAAATAAAGAAAATATATTTAATTCTCTCTTTTATGGATTTCTTAAATAAAGTACACTAAACAAAGTTTCTTTTAGTTCGTGTCATAGTTTTAATTTTATTTTTACAATTTTAAAAACCAAGTCAAACAAGTATTAATATTTCAAATTTAAATATTTATTATATATATATTTTTATTAATTTTTAGTATATTGTTGATTTATAATAATTTATAGAATTGTTTTGCGCGCCTTTCATCAAACGAGATATCGATATGTGAAATCAAGTGATATGGCGATTCGACCACAAATCGCAAATAATCGTATATCGAACCCGTTAGCCTTTCTTCCTTTTCCGGTATGATGTGCCACGGTTGCTTGGGTAATATTTTTCGTCTTTCATTCTCGTCATGATACGTTAGTTTCACCGCCTGCGAAAGCACAAGCTGGTTTTCATTGGACCGGGTAAAACTACTTGTTTTATTAGAAATAATTTTTTTCCTATTGTACCTAATATTTTTACTGTTTCAATTCAATCAAATTTGCCTTCTATCTCTACCCAATCTGATGTAAAACGACAGCTTTTACGTATTACGTTGCTTTATAAAACCGCTTATTCACTTTGCATGTTGACACCATTGACATTCGTGTAATATTCATCTTATTATATATAATTTTATAATTATGTCTGTTTTAAGATTAAGTCTCTGAGCTCACAAATAATATTGTATATTTATGATTCGTATGCATATCTCCATATTAGTCGAATTTTTCTGAGGTATCTGTCACAAATTTTGGTGTTGATCAAGTCAAATTTAGCTATTACAACTGAAATAATTATATTTTTTCCTACATTTTAATACATTTTAACGTATAATTTCTGTAAAATGAGAAAAAAATATAATATCGAATTGAACGTATATACGGATTTCATAGCATAGAGTACTCGATCACCGCAATTGCGTATATACACAGCAATCGAAAAACTCGCCAGGCATTCTGGGTAAAATTTCCGTGAGTAATCAAAATGGCTGTCATACAACGATTTCCGTTTTGCGACTACGTTTTAATGTAATTCATTAAATGATATTTGTTTTGAAAAGTTATTGGGAGTAAAATTGTAGAATATAAATATTTCTTTTATCAGGAAACAGGTTTTCCAGAATTTGATATTAAATTGGTAAAAGATGTAATTTTTGTTACATTTGTAGGGCGTTCATTTTACTAAAGGGTGTAGATGAAAGAAAGAGTGGGGGAGAGCGCGCGCGCATTGCACTATGGGTTAGTGACGGGACGACAGTCGGGGAGAGGAAGAACAAGTTGAGTTCATAAAATGGCGGCCAAGCTCGGGCCTGTGACCATATAGTACGTGAGAATTCGATAATTTTGTATGATGTAGCGACTTTACACATCAATAGTCGTTTAATATTGTGGATACGTATATACACAGCAGTTTAATTATTAAATTAACGTGATTTTGTGTGTGGTACGTGTAATATTGAGATATCGGTACGACGCGCAGACGGAACGATGCAGGTGAGTGGTCGAGTTCGAAAATTGTTTAAGTTACAGCTTTTCTTCAACTTTTTTTTAGCAATAATTGTTTGTTTCCGTTGCTGATACGAGCATCAATGTTGTTTTAAAGAATAATTTGCGTGATATAGCCACAGTGTTGTTTGGAATAGGAAAAAATCGCGTTGTCATATGCGTTTCATTAAACTACAAGGAGAAAAATCCTCGTAAAAATAAAAAAAGTCATTGGAATTTTGTTTAAAAGGTTTCTACGTATAGGGCGGGGTCTTACTGACCTTATGAGCTCAGGGACTTGTCTTCAGTAAATCACAATTTTCTGCAATTTTACATAGTTTTCAGCCTCTTAATAACCTATAAGTTTGTTTACATCCATTCATTTTGACATTTATCACTTAAAATATCATTGTTCCACACTATTTTTCATAAAAAATGATTCCTTGCAATCTCCTTTATCTTGGGCCTATGCTTATTCAAAAATTTTAAATAGACCCATTTTTGTAAATTAAGCTCAAAGATTGATACACATTCTCTGCATTATAGTTGAGACTGTGTAGCACAATCACCTGCAAAAGTTGTAGCAATTATATGCTTTTCATGTGGAAAATATTTCATATATTCTGGGTTTTTCCTTGAAAAGAAACCAGAAAGATTTCTCTCTATTTCAAGAATTTTTTATATATTATGAATCTTCATTTATCATATGTTTTTTATAAAACTTGAATTTGTATAAACTGAATTACATCATACATTTATTTTACATTTACATAATAATACCAAGATGCACTTGTAACTTTGAATGTCATTTTTACTAGAATTTTACACAAATAAGGTATAAAATTAACAAGTACAATGATTCGTATAAATGGAGTTTTTTCATTTGTTCCCTATTAGATATATTTTTTGTTGTTACATAATATTTAATACATTACAACGAATAGTACATTTTTACCAAGATATATGAAACAGAACTTGATATTGAGACTTTTAAGAATAAGAATTGATTATGTAAATATCATAAATAAGTTGATATCCCTTTATGTTATTTACATATTAGAAAACAAAATATGGAACTTCATATCATCATGTGAAAATTTATTATTCCTCAAATTGTAAAGATATTATTGTACATGTTATGTACCAAAACATATCTTTATTACATATAAGAGTTAGTCATTGATATTTATATCATCATTAATAAAGAAAGTATTGTATAAGATTTAGGATAACTGTGTTTAATTTTCATACTGTTATATATCAGTAATACTTATTAAAGTTTAAAATACTTTCTACTGTTATGAAAAAAAGTAGAGATTTAAGATTTGTTGAAGAAACAAAACAATTGAAGAAATAATTCTTCATCTAAAGATTCTGTTTATGTTATATGAAGTACATGGTACTGTTATAATTTCATATATAAATTGTTTGTGTAAAGTGTGATTTATTTTCAATTTATAATTTATTTTCAAACAGTATTGTGCTTCATACTTAAGTTATATTTATACTTAAGTTATATGTTATCAGCAATATAAATTTGGAAATATTTATCTTTTTTTGTGAGTTTCCTACAAGTATTTAAGTATATGGATTCTGATATTAAAATTACTGATAACTACTCCAGAATTATTGTGAATAAGTATTCTCCTTAATTCTTATGCTATTTAAGAAACAAATGTAAATCTTTAAGTTCAGTCATGTGTTGTACATAATGTACTTGCTGAATTGTTTAATAAATATGAATAGTACTTAAAATGGTGAATTATGTTATTCTGAAATACCCATTATACCTTATAGTGGTTATTTGCAGGAAACTATTTTATATATAAGAAAATCTACAGTACTTTTGTGGCAGTTAGGATAGTTACATGCAACACACAGACAATATTAAAAGACTAATTTATCTATTCAAAGAATTTTAATCAATTTCCGATTTTTACAAAGAATATTATTCTGAAAAAAGAGAATTTTCAATATGTGTATGTAACTATTTTCCTTCTTAAAATAAATATATATACTTAAATATATATTTCCTTGATATAATTGAATGTAGTTCAAGGATATAAAATCAAATGTACTGAAGTTTTACTACTTTATTGAAGTCTCTAAAAGCCTGGAAATCAAGAAATTCTTAACTACAAAATGGTGGTCAAGAATTATAAAATGGAGGAGATATCTTCTTGATAGATGGCACTGTTAATTTATGTGCAAGCTATGTTCTAAATATTAAATATGTAAAATTATGGAAAGTACATTGTACTAATATTTTAAAAATAGTTAGAATAGATTTAAAGAACTGCCCAATTAAAAAAACATAAATAATGTAATTAAGAAATATATTTTTTATTAATAGTGATGAATAAAAACTATTCCAAACAACACACTGTGACTTATGTATTTTTTAAAATAGAACAATGCTAGACTTGTCTGATTAAATTACAGAAAACATTAGAATCCGAGTCCGGTAAAGAATCTGGATCTGATTCTGAAAATGAAAGTAAAAGTGATAGCTCTTCTTCTGGAAGTAATACAGGATCTGGTTCTGGCTCAGAAAGGTGGGTATTGAAACTATTATTATCTAATCCCTTTCTTTCAGAAAGTCCAAGACATGATAAGTTAATAATAATATTAATATCTTTATTTTTTTAACAATTTTATATTCAAACATGCTGTGTTACCCAATTGTTACCAATATAGATAATATATAGTAAGATAATAATAATAATAATAATCAAAGTTTCATCATTAATGATATTTCTTTATATAATGTATTTGACTTTCTGACACATAAGGGATTATTTTACATTAATCATTTAATTATGTGTATTGCTATAGCTTTATATAGCATTAACATTGCTTTGATAATCATGCTAATTTAATGTATCCCTTGAATTTTATATAAGCACAATTTTCAAGTTTCTGTTACTCATGCAATAGTACCTGTTTTTTTGTATATTAAAACAATCTAAACACTAGGTGAGCTAGTATCCTACTGCTTCTATTCATTTTACTTTTTATGATAATTTATCCTAATACATTATGCATAGTGTATGTTAATGTAGATTGTACAGAAACATAAAGGAAAGAAATATTTTCAGAAATATGTTGATATATCAATACTTAAAAACAAAAATAGTAAAATGAAAATTTAATATTAGGATTTTTGAAGTTATTTTAAAATATTAAAAGATTTGTAATTGATACATATTGCAATTAATTAATATATATGAATAAATTAATATTTACTCTATTAAATAATGCTTTTGTACTTATTTATATTTTTTAGCCCAAAAAGTTATAAAATTATATTTCAATAATTGAGAGTCCAATAAAAATGACAATTGTCATTTTAAGTTAACAATCAATATTTTGTATCAGAAAAATTTAATATTTCTGTATTTTATCAAATATATTTTAAATTGCAATAATGTAATTTATGGTAGTAAAATATAACATTACCTGACTGCAAATGCAGTGACTCTAGCTCCTCAAGTGGTTCCGGGTCTGGATCAGGTTCTGATTCTGATAAATCAGACAAGTGGGATGCACCTGCACAAAGTTCAAATCACAGCACAGAAACAAAAGTTAAGCTTAAAAATGAGTCTAGTCGCGAGTGGGATGAGAATCCTGACATTTATGGAATCAGAAGATCTGGCCGTTCTAGGAAAGAGCCAGAAAGGCTTGCTACCCAACGTGAAAGCGATAGCGATAGTCGCAAGAAATTTAAGAAAAGGGGGTAAGTAATATGAAGAAACTTAAGTAATTATCAGAAATTGAAATTATAAATTCTGTAATCCTTTCAATTATTTCTTATGAATTGAATAAATCTTGACAATAAATAAATGCATTTTTGCTGTTAGTAATGATAATTTAGGACTTACATTTTAAAAATAATAATTTATAAATTTATGACGTATCTATTTGAGTAAATATAAAAAAGAATGAAACTTTTTTATTTTTTAAATGTTAAATATATTTCAATGATGATAATATAGAATAATAATAATAATAATAAAAGTAATAATAATAGTAAAAATATTACAAGTTTTAATTACTATATAATTTACAAGTAGCTATTGTTTAGTAGGTTTGTATTTTGAAATTTCAGCAGCAATAATAATTCTTCAAAGCTTTTATGTTAGTTATGTATGCACTTTTCTACATTGTATATATTGTATATCAATGTGCTTTTGTATTTTTTATTTTTGACGTTTATATTTGTGTTTATTAAGCTTAATGCTTCAAGCAAATTTTTACATTATAGCACTGTTTGTTTGGTTTATTTTCAGTTTTGTTTGGTTGAATAAACTATTGCATTGTATTAAATAATTTTAATATTTATGATAATTTTAATTTGTATTATGCACCTACTCATATGCATTTATGTAATTCATTAAAACATTTACACAAAAAGAAAATCATGTAATAAATATAGAATTTTTGAATTTGTGTTAGATTACCTGCATGTATAAAATGTTACCAATAATGTAATTACTACACTATAAAATAATATGATTAGAAACTTTATTTTTTTTTTAGTAAAAGTAAGTAAAAATTATTACAAAAGAAAATATTTTTTTCTTTATTATTATGCTATAGTTTTAATAAATTACATTTCAGTAAATTGCCATGTATCAGTATTAATTATTCATATTAATAATTTATTAAAGAAAATTTTTATTGAGCATGTAATCTGTATCATTTGATCTATATTATTATTAAAACCCAAAGACAAATTTTATATGTACATTTTAAATATATCATTAAAATAATAAATTTGTATCATACATATAAAAATAGTTCATATACACACATATATATTAGTTTATTATTATAATATTACTTTTTATATTTATAAATGCATATGCTTTCTTTACAGTTCACATAATTCATGGAATTCGGATAGTTCAGATTCAGAATCTGATGATGTTGAAAGTAGAAGACCCCCACCTAGTAAATCGTTAAACAGACGCGCTGCACAAAAAGCCAAAGAAAAGTCAAGGGCACGAAAGAAACGAATTTCGGAATCATCCGAAAATTCTTCTTTTGATAGTGATGATAACAGACGGTATTTTATTTCTTTTTATAAATAAAGTTTTAATTTATAAATAAAATTATATAAATGGAACATCAATATCAATAAATTAATATTAATTTAAATGTTAGGCAAGTTACAAGAAGAACTGGAACTGCTATTAGTTATAAAGAAGAAAGTGAAGAAAGAACTGACAGTGAAGATCTTGTAGAGGTTGAAGAAGGTAGCACTGCAAATACAGAACCAGATAATGCAGAAACTATTGAACGAATTTTAGGACAAAGAATTGGTAAAAAAGGAGGTTGGTTTTTGAAATAATTACAAGTTTTTTTTATTATATCCTATTATTTTTATAGATAGTTTTTTATAGCGTATCTTCTTTCAGTCGTAGGAAATGTTACAACAATTTATGCTGTAGAAGAAAATGGTGATCCAAATCCAGAAGACTTATCCAATGAAGAAACTGAACTGCAGTATTTAATAAAATGGAAAGGCTGGTCTCATATACACAACACGTGGGAATCAGAAGAATCATTAAAAGCACAAAAAGTAAAAGGATTAAAAAAATTAGATAATTTTGTTAAACGGGAGCGGGAAATTAAACAATGGAGGGATTATGCCGGTCCCGAAGACATAGATTATTTTGAATGTCAATTGGAACTTCAACAAGATCTTCTAAAAAGTTACAATAATGTTGAAAGAATTATTGCTGAATATAATAAGCCTGATTCAGATCATCCGGATTATTATTGTAAATGGGAAAGTTTACCTTATGCTGAAGCTACATGGGAAGATGGAGTATTAATTATTAAAAAGTGGCCAGAGAAAATTAAAGAATTTCGTGAAAGAGAAGAGTCAAAGAGAACACCAAGTAAACATTGTAAAGTTCTTAAATCTCGACCTAAATTCCATCAATTAAAAGGACAACCAGACTATATGGGAAAAGGGCGAGATTTAACTCTCAGAGACTATCAAATGGATGGATTGAATTGGATGATCCATTCTTGGTGCAAAGAAAATAGGTGGATTATTTTTTTTCGCTATACTGAAATTTTATAATATATTAACGAATTTCTTAATATACGTTTTATATCATGTTGAATTTTATTTGTTTTCAGTGTTATTTTAGCAGACGAAATGGGTCTTGGTAAAACCATACAAACAATATGCTTCCTTTATTATTTATTCCATACACACCAGCTTTATGGGCCATTTTTATTAGTAGTCCCTCTTTCGACAATGACTTCCTGGCAAAGAGAAATGTCACAATGGGCACCAGATATGAATTTTGTTACATATTTGGGTGATGTAACATCTCGTAATGTTGTATGTATTATTTATTCGAGTTTTTTTTTTAAGTATTTACAAAAATTTACGAATTAAATATATTTATATTATTTATTTTAGATTAGAGAGTATGAATGGTGTTATAGTTCAAAAAGATTAAAATTTAATGCAATACTCACGACATATGAGATAGTACTTAAGGATAAAGCATTTCTGGGTGCCTTAAATTGGGCCGTATTGTTAGTAGACGAAGCACATCGATTAAAAAACGATGATTCTCTCTTATATAAAGCCCTTGCTGAATTTCATACAAATCATCGTCTCTTAATAACTGGTACTCCATTACAGAACAGTTTGAAAGAACTATGGGCCTTACTACATTTCATAATGCCTACCAAGTTAGTTGTTTTTTATAAAATGTTTATTATTATTGCAGATTTTTTCGTTACTTGTAATAAAATTCTATAATATTTTTTTTCATATATATAGATTCAGTTCATGGGAAGAATTTGAAAAAGAGCATGACAATGCTGCTCAGAAAGGATATTCCAAATTACATAAACAATTAGAACCATTTATTTTACGACGTGTTAAAAAAGATGTAGAAAAATCTCTACCTGCTAAAGTTGAGCAAATACTACGAGTGGAAATGACATCTTTACAAAAACAATATTACAAATGGATATTAACTAAAAATTATAATGCATTGCGGAAAGGTGTTAAAGGTTCTACCATGACGTTTCTAAATATCGTCATTGAATTGAAGAAATGTTGTAATCATGCTTTTCTTACAAAACCTACTGAAAGTGAAAGGAAGGACAATAATGAAGATTACTTACAACAATTGATTAGAGGTTCTGGCAAATTAGTTCTTCTTGATAAATTATTGGTGAGATTACGAGAAACTGGTCATAGAGTATTAATATTTAGTCAAATGGTCAGGATGTTAGATATTCTTGGGGAATATCTGCAAAAGAAACATTTTCCATTCCAAAGATTAGATGGAAGTATAAAAGGAGAACTACGAAAACAAGCTCTAGATCATTTTAATGCAGAAGGATCACAAGATTTTTGCTTTTTATTATCAACAAGAGCAGGTGGTCTTGGTATTAATCTTGCTACTGCTGATACCGTTATTATTTTTGATTCAGATTGGAATCCGCAAAATGATTTACAAGCACAAGCTAGAGCACATCGTATTGGTCAAAAAAATCAGGTATTTTAATATTTCTTACCAACATTATAGTTATTTCAGATATTTTAATATTAATAATCATTTTAATATTTCTTATCAATATTATAGTTATTTGAAATATTTAAGTATTATTTAATTATTTAAATATTAAACATTAATAAGCATCTTCTATTTTATGTAGGTAAATATTTATCGCTTAGTGACAAAAAATTCTGTAGAAGAAGAGATAGTAGAAAGAGCAAAGCAAAAAATGGTTCTGGATCATCTTGTAATTCAACGGATGGATACAACTGGTCGAACAGTATTAGATAAAAAAAATGCAGGGACCAATAATAATCCATTTAACAAAGAAGATTTAAATGCTATTTTAAAGTTTGGAGCTGAAGATTTATTTAAAGATGAAGAAGATGGAGATGAAGAACCTACTGTAATTATTTAGAAGAATTTAAACTATCCTAATTTAAAATCATATATAGATTAAATAAATAAATATTTATTATTTTTTTATGATTAGTGCGACATTGACGAAATTTTGAGGAGGGCGGAAACGAGGGATGAAGGACCTTCAACAGTAGGAGATGAATTGTTATCTGCATTCAAAGTTGCTAGTTTTGCTGCATTTGAAGAAGAATCCGAACCAGTTAATCAACCCAATGATAATGATGATGAAAGTAAAGATTGGGTAAATATTTTTAGTACTAAATATATTTTATAATATTTCTATATGTATATAAAAAACTAAGATATTTTTATTCGGATTGATTTTAGGCTGAAATTATTCCAGAAAATTTTAGGAAAAAAGTGGAAGAAGAAGAAAAATCAAAAGAAATGGAAGATTTATATTTACCTCCAAGAAGTCGGAAAACGTTGCAACAAATTAATCAAAGTGGTGAAGGTATGTTACGTATTAAAATAATATAATAATTTATTTGTTATAATATATGATATGTCATTGAATGTTTATTTCATTATTAAGCAAGAGGACGAAAGAGAAAGAAGTTATCTGCCGATGATAGTGATGAAGGTGAGGATTCTGGAAGTGAGGCTGAAGGTAGTGACGATGAACGTCCTAAAAAAAGAGGTAGACCAAGAGTTACACCACGAGAAAATATTAAAAGTTTTACTGATGCAGAGGTATGTGGTTAAGTTTATGCTTTATAATAATTTATGTGTATTCAAATAAATTCGAATCCTCTATTACACAGATACGGAGATTTGTTAAAAGTTATAAGAAATTCCCTGCACCGTTGAAACGATTAGATGATATTGCGGCGGACGCAGAATTACAAGAAAAGCCAATGTCAGAATTACGTTTCTTAGGAGATCAATTAAAATCTAGATGCGAAGCTTGTTTATCTGAATTTGAAAGTACCGCAAAAGAAAATAAAGGTGAAGAGGAAGGTAAAGGTCCTGGTCGTAAAAGAGGTAGAGGTCCTACATTTAAAATTGGCGGTGTTATGGTCAATGCAAAATCATTCTCAGCTGCAGTAAAGGAATTAGAACCTTTAGAACAGGCTTTACCTTCTGATTTCGAACAGCGGTCTAATTGGCATATTGACATCAAGTAAATATTCATTTCATCACATTTTTAGATTTAAAAATATATTTAGATGCATAAATACATATTTGGTTTATTTTAATTACTGTTACAGATTGAAACCGGCAAATTTCGATTGTGATTGGAGTTCTGAAGATGATTCTAGACTTTTAAGAGGTATATATCAACACGGCATGGGTTCGTGGGAAGTCATAAAAATGGATAATAATTTAAAATTGGGCGATAAACTTCTTCCAAATGGTAGTAAGCTTCAATTTAAAAAAATAAACACCCGAGCCGAATATCTACTAAAAGTGCTCAAGAAACAAATCGATTCGAAATTAGGAGTGGTAAGAAGACATTAGTTTTATAGTATTCCTATGAAAACTCCTCTTTTATCCTTTTATTCTATTCCGACAGGATTATATCCTTATCCCACAATCCGAATATCAATTTAAGGTAATTTCTAAATTTTCTTAGTTTTCATCTTTATTCGATATACATTTATAATTTGAAATTATTTATTTCATATTTTTGAGATTTATAATTTATAGATTATTCACTTCATATTTATATTTTAATACATCTAAATCTTGATTTTAGATTAAGGCAAGGAAACCGAGGAAACCAAAAGAGACAAAAACTGCAATTACAAAAGAAATTATAGAAGAAAATGATAGTTCAGCTGAAGAGAGCAATAAATCTAAATCCAAAATTGAAAAGGTAAATTTATATGAGTATTTGTATTATTTGTTTACATTTAACATTAAGAAATACTCTATGTGTAAACATTTTCATGTTATATTATTTTAATTATAGCCATCGATGAAAAAAGAAGAAGAAGTTGTTATAAAAAAAGAAATTAAAGAAGAAATTGAAGAGATAGTTGAAGAGAAGAAAAAAGAGAAGAAAACTAAAAAAGAAAAAAAAGAAAAAAAAGTTAAGAAAACAAAACAAGCAGCAGGTCCGATGCATTTCACTGCTAACAACGAACCAAGAGCTCTTGATGTTCTTGGTGATTTAGATCCTTCTATATTTAACGAGGTTACTATTAATTATATTAATGTTGTATCTATTTAAATGTTGTATATTGTATGCAATTGTATGTAATTGTATATTGTATATTGTACAGTGTAAAGAAAAAATGAGACCAGTGAAGAAGGCGCTTAAAGCTTTGGATAGACCAGATCAATCTTTAAGCGAAACGGAACAAGTCGCTCACACGAGGCAATGTCTTGTACAAATTGGAAATCAAATTAACACTTGTTTAGAAGAATATAGAGATCCTGAACAAATAAAAGAATGGAGAAGTAATTTATGGTACTTCGTATCGAAATTTACGGAATTTGATGCCAAGAAACTTTATAAATTGTATAAACATGCGACAAAAAAAGGCGGTGAAAGTAATACAAGTGCAACGTCGAGCCCAGAAAAGAAAGAAGAATCAAATAATATAAAGGTATAATGATCAATTTTTTCTTTATTTATTACAGTGTAAGAAGCATTATTAATGTAATTTATTTTATAGAAGCACGAAAAACATATCGATAAACAAGTAGAAAATATTAAAGATAGTAGATTACAAAAACGAAAGATTGAAGATATAGAAGAAAATTCAAATAGCAGCAGTACACCGAATAAGAAACATCTTTCAATTATATCTGCTGTAAACAGTATCAGCAATACTTCTGCTGTTACTATTGGTGCTACCACTATCACACCCATTACATCGACTCCAAATTCCACTTCAAGTACCACTAATAGTGTGGATACTCCGCGACACAAAGAAAAGGAATCAAAACATAAAGACATGAAAAGAGAGAGAGAACGTGATAGAGATAGAGATAGAACTCATAGTGATAGAGGTATGGACAGAATGAGTGGAAGTAAAGATGAACGAATTAGGAGAGATAGTGGCGGTTATAGTATAAGTGGACATTACAGTGGAAGTAGAGAAGACGACCATTGGTTATCCCGTGATGGAAGAGATATGCGAGATGGAAGGTACAATCAAAACAATAGAATTTTTTTTTTTATAATACAGTATTTAATATAAATTATTAATATATAGGTTTGGAGATCACAAACGTGATCGTTTCGATCCTTATGGCCGAATGTCTAGTGCATATCATCGTGACAGAGATCGCGATCGTGATCGCAGTATGCATATGAATGATAAACGAAGGTAAGTTATAAATAATAAAATTATAATCATAAAAACCATAATTATTTTAAATTGTAAAATTTATTTTCAGTGATTATTATAGATATTCATCAGGACCACCCAGTTATGGATATGGTCCAGGAGGATATGGAGGTGGAGGTGGTGGTGGTTATCCATCTGATATTCCTCCAAGCCATTTTAGAAGTCGAGGTTATCCAGGAGATAATTATCCTAACGATTGGCGACCAACTAAGGATTATAGACGAGATTATGATAGAAGACCACCTCCGCCAAATGCTAACTCCTAGTGCTCCTTCCTTGTTACCGTTCTCGAATGTGTCGTTGAACGGTTATAATGGAGCCTTATATTGTTTTACCTGACTGATCATTTTCAATGCTCCTTTAAATGTGGCTATACGCAAATTCCTTACATAATTTCGTGACTTGTAATCTATGTATAAAATTTATTCTAATGTTTACTTAATATGCAAAGGATTACCGTGATTAAATGGTCTTTTAAGACTTTTAAAGAGAGGTTGTGCAAGAATAATTTTATATACGTCAAGTTTCTTGAAAACATAATGATGCTGAATTCTTAAGTTTCTATTCACTAATGTTACATGAAAGAAATTATTTGTTTATGTATTTGAATCCGTTTTATTACAGTGCAATTATGATAAGATTTGATAATGAACTAAAATCAAGTTAATGTGTTGTAGTACATATTATTATATATAACGTTAAAATTCGTAATTTAAAATGTATGCCTTCCTAAATCGCATGTAACATATTTTGCATTTTCAATACTGATCATGTATGTTCAATGGATGTTCAGCTTATATACAGTTATTCGTCATTTTAAACCATACTATGTTTGAACATGTTTCCAAATTTTCATGATTGAGTTATAGTTTAATAATTAACCTTTCATTAATTGATATTTTATTGCACTGCAATAGATATTAAAGTACTATTGGGAGCTAAAAAGAAATTTTGCGATAGAAATTCGAATCTGATTGTATTTCTCTGACAAACTTAATACAAACTTAACCCGGGATTACCCACCTGGGGGTCTACCCCACGTGGGTAATCCCGGGTTAAATAGAAGGACGTATTCTAAATATCACGTACAATAGCATAGCGTATCGCTGAGTGGTTGGAGCCCCCAATAGTACTGATATTTTATTTCATACAATGATACTTGTAAAATTGTACAAATTAGTCAACATTATATAAATTTTCTATTGACTGAAAATTCAAAAACATTTTACATCAAAAGAAATATGTAGAATAACACTTTTTTGTGATATGCAGTGTATATAAGCTACACTGACATAATGCGCATGTATTTATTGTAAAATTAGGAACAAAACTGCAAATATGATATTTATCAACAGATGATTACATTCTCAAAAGAGAAAAAAAATATATTAACTTTCTCCTCTTTTATAGACTTTATACTTTCACAATTGAAAAGGTAGATAAGAATTGTCTATTTTTGCGTTCATTCTTTTAAAGTACCATAGTTTTGTATCCTATCAATAACAATGTGAAATATTGTAAATAAGATAATAGTTAAGCATAAGATAATAGTTATATTCGATGTATATTTAACTCCGAAGTTAATGAAATAGTATTCTGCTTTCGTGTAGAAAAAATAAACCAGAGACTAGCTCCCTCGACTTTGCTTCAGTCAAGAGTGATTGAATATAACTATAACATTGTAATTAAAAAGAAAGAAAATGAATTTTTAATTTAATGATTAGGGATTAATGAAAAGGGTATTAATATATTTCTCGATTAAATCTTAAATTGTGGTAAGAAAATGTGAAATACTAATTGCGAAATCTTTATATTTCATCACTTTTTCCATTAAAATACTACGAGAGATAGTAATTGCGTTCTATTTCCGTAAGAATATAAATATTTGCGAATTTTATATTCATAAAAATGAAAATCATAAGTTTTTTGTATGTACGCATTAATTTTTTTCAACCTAAAATCACATAAACGCTATATATTTTTTTAAATAGCGTAATTTTCTTTTTTCTATCATTGAAATTACATGAATAACATGCCTTTATTAAGCTATAAAGTAAAAAAAAAATAACTTTGTAAATTATTTTATTCATGTAAGATGAATTTCTTAACACTAAAGGTTTATAATTTTAGGGTGCATTTTTGTAAATAATAGTATATACATGTGATGATATCTAGCCAGATCAAAGTGGAATTGTACACACGTTAACGATGCTCCGTGTCCTTACGTATGCATACATAAGACAAAGTACATTGAAACTAAATCACAATAGAAATTTGCTAGTTCAGGTTTTTAATTGCAAGGTGATATTCTAAACAGTGAGCTATTTATAATTTATTACTAGCTGAATACAGACCGCGAGTAATAAAAGATATGTTGTAAATATAAATTAAGGAAAATAAATGATGTAATAGAATAATTTAATATTGTATAATTGAAATAGGGCAATTACAATAACACATTTCATTACTTTCTAAAATATAATTGGAAGTACTCTTGTAACATACATAATTCATAAGTACCATACCAGTACGAATTTTGAAAATTAATTCATTTAACTATTTGCTAGAATTATTTTTTAACAAATTTATTAGTATAAATGAGAGAGATCCCTTTAAATATGTATTTAAATAATGCAAATATAATAATGATTGTTAACATTTTATTATTCATTTTATTTACAATATCTTGTAATTACAAGTATTTTCCAAATTATATTAATTAATAATAAAGTATATTTATTATCTCTTACTCTGTAAACGTTTTTACAGTCACAACAAACTGTAAATGAGAAACTTTCGTGTTCGACTTCATTTTTCACTGTTAAAGGTTTTTAAAAAAATCTGAAAAGTTCATTTTAGTATTTTCAAACCTTCTAAACTAGGATTAGAAAAACAAATTTAAACAATAACTCGTTTGTATAGATTATTATTGCCAATTCATTTGGGAAAAACCCATATCTTTCAAATTTGCTTGGACACAAAAGATTCCAATTTACAGAGTAAGAATTAGCATGAAATAGAAGGATAAACCTTGCACCTTGAATAAAAAATAAATGATAGACAAAAATGGGGGCTCAGAAACAAGTCAGTCATCTTTCATTAGAAATAATTTATACCATTATTTTTTTTTTTTTCATTTTCCTTTACAAATGTATTTTGTATGTCTAAAATATTTACATTTTTAGGTGTAAAAATTAGAGTATAGAATAATAGTGGTCAATGGGGGGGGGATAGGGGGGGAAAGGTTACAATACAATTATCAACAATCCTATAATTTGTACCATAAAAATATCTTTTTGTATGATGTAAATTATCAGTCGACGGAACAGTTTAATCATAATATAATTATTATAACGAAACTGTTTCATGGACTGAAGATTTGTACAGTACAAGTCGCTTTTAATAAAAAATGACTGACTGTTCGATATATCAATTTATATAATATACATAAAAAATTTTATCTACAAAACATCGATATAAAATCCATATATTTACAAAATAATATTTTATTTTTAGTATTAGAAATGACTTTTTATGCTTAAAAGCTTGTATTCTAAATATAAAAAACGCAAATCATTTAACGTCTTCTATCAATTAACATAATATGGACATGAACTATGGATATGGACTACGGACATGGACTATGGACAGTATGAGCTAAGGCGTAATTTTAACAGCACACACGGATAGAAGGCACGCCATTGAGAAGTCATCGCTAAAGCTAGCTGAAAAGAAGCTTATAATTCATAAAAATACACGTTGGAATCATACATGGTACGTATTTCGTGAACAAAATGTAAAAATTGTATAATTTCATAAAAACAATAAATTTTAAAGAATTGTAATTAATGTCAAATTGCCGGCACCATAAATTCCGTCGACATCAAAATGCGACAATATTCAAAATAGTATATAATCTAAAGGGCGTGTCTCCTTTTTATTTAATATTATGCTACGCATACTTAAGAAAATATATTTTAATTATTTATATGTATTATATATATTTAATTATTCATTTATATTTGTATTTAATTATTAGACTACCGATCATAGAATGCACGTAATGTAATAAAATACATAAAATATCTGAAGTATTTTTATGACATTTGGTATATAAAACAATTTCCTGCCAAAGTCCATGTATGCAATTACATTGTAATTAAAAGTCCATGTTTGTAATTACATTCTTAGAAATAGAAAATTGCATAAAAATTTGTAATTTCATCATAATGCATTTATTTGGAAAACTTTTATATAAAGAAAAGTTTTATATGTGTATACTTAAAAGTTAATTACAATTTTAACAAAAAAAATATAATTATTTATATATATTATTTTCAGATCTTATCATGACAGAGGCACGATTGGACTTTATTATATTTGGAGCTACTGGATATACTGGAAAATATGCTGTAAAAATAGCAGCACAATTAGCTAAAGAAAAACAAATAACATTTGGAGTATCTGGACGCAGGAAACAAGCTTTGGAAGCAGTTGTTAAAGAATTTGTTTCTGACATTGGTAAAATTAAAGCTTGAATAATTAAGTATTTTTATAATAATGATTATATTGTAATAATGTAACTTATATTTTTAGAAGATGTACCCATATTGATTGCTGATTTAAAAGATGAAGAGTCCCTAAAAAAAATGACAGCTCAAGCTAATGTGCTAATTAATTGTTGTGGCCCATATAGATTTTATGGAGAACCAGTAATTAAAGCATGCATTGCTACCCATACTCATCAAGTTGATGTCAGTGGTGAACCACAGGTAATTTCTTAAACTATTTCAAAATTATAAAGTATTATAATGATTCTACTTCTTACTTGTATTAAATATTTTTATATAATTTTTTTTTATTTTCAAATTACAGTACATAGAAAGTATTCAATTGAAATATAATAAGGCAGCAGAAGACGCTGGTATCTATATCATAAGTGCATGTGGATTTGATAGCATACCATGTGATCTTGGTACAATTTTTGCACAACAAAAATTTAATGGTGAAGTCAATTCCATTGAAACTTATTTAAATATGTGGGTAACTACGAAAGTTAGTGGTGCTCTCATTCATTATGGAACATATGAATCTGCAGTGTATGGTATGGCACATTCCCATGAATTACGGGAGTTGCGCTCCAAACTGTATCCTGAGAGATTACCTCCATTATGGCCAAAACTTAAACCAAGGTTGACAATAATATAAATATAATATAATTGTACATAATTGAAATGCATACATTTTTATATCATTTATATTTTCTAATCTTATAATTAAAAAATTTCTAATCTTATATAATTATTTTAGAGGTGCTATTCACAAATCTTCTGTATCGGAAGGATGGTCTATGGTATTTCCAGGAGCTGATCGCTCGGTAATTCTTCGTACCCAGCGATTTTTATATGATAAATGTAAACAACGACCAGCTCAAGTGCAAACTTATTTTACACTCAAGTAAGATTTATATTTAATCTAGAAAAATTACAGTAGAAATTTTATACCAAATAAATATTTTTCTTTTTAAATTACAGGTCATTTTTCTCCGTATTGACAACTATTATTTTTGGTTTAATGTTTGGAATATTGTCCAAATATGAATTTGGTCGTAATTTATTATTAAAGGTATTTTCTATTTTTTTTATTATAAAATATATCTTTCGTATCAGTTCAATATTTTAAAAACAATCTAAGTTTCACAAAACTTTTTTAGTATCCTACATTTTTTTCTGGTGGATATGTAAGTCATGAGGGACCTAAGCCAGAGACACTGGATAACGTTCATTTCTCTATGACATTTAAAGCAGAAGGATGGACTGAAAAATTAGCTGAACCTACTGATAAACATAAAGATTTACCAAACAAAGTAATGATTACTAAAGTTAGTGGAATTGATCCTGCATATAAAGCTACATGCACTATGTTACTCCTTTCTGGTGTAACAATTCTCAAGGAATCTGATAAAATTCCTGTCACGTACGTTATACATCTTTTATTTGAAAGTAGAATCTTTTTTACATAATTTTACAATTATTATTACATTATTTTAGCGGTGGTGTTTTAACTCCTGGTGCTGCATTTAGTAAAACATCATTGATTGAAGAATTGATTAAGAAGGATATTAAATTCGAGGTTGTTTCTTCCCTTGAAAAATAAAATCTTTCATATGGTTACAAATACAACTTTGCTATTTTATGGTGGAAGTATAAAAATAAGAGTTTTTTTATTTGCAGATAAAAGTTTCCGAAAAAGTATCGTTTTTTGTGTTTCAGTTTAAGGTGTTTCATTTAGTGAGCCATAAAAAGACGTAATTATATATATACATACATACATATAATACATACATATAATTGAAAGAAAGATAGAAAATTTAATATCACAAGAATTCATGTAAAACATTATTATTTCTTTATATTTAAATTTTTTACATTTGCCCGAAATATAGCTCGCAAAAGTATGAGTAGTATTTAACTAAAATATACATATGTAATAAAACAGTAAAAGAAAGTATATATACAAGTACGATATATGGGAAGTATTCAATTGAAATATTTATATCATGTGACCGTGCTGCAAGTTTTACACAACAAAAATTTGATTTGATAAAGTTATTGAGTTTAGTGATTAACTATAGAAATTAATGTTCTCATTTATTATACAACATATGTAACAGCAATATGTACTCCCATGAATTCTGTATCCTGAAATATTTTTTAAAGTAATTTTCAATAGTAAATAACAACCTTGAATTTCGTTTAAATGTGTTTTGGTACATTAATATTTTTTTGGGATAGAAAATGTTAATTTTGAAATTTTTAAATATTTATAAAAATTAAATATGTATTTCTTTTTTTAATAACAACAATAGTATATGATTAGTAGCAGTAATCCATTTATATTTTCTACAATCGTATTGTTAACTAATACAAAGAAAATATATTTATTAAAACTATTGAAATTATATGTATACCCAATTAACGCACATTATATTGCTCTCTATATTTATAATTGGTAAACAAGATAATGTTGATGCTATTTTATATTGCTTCATATATTTTAATACATGTTAATTATTTATATTGTCTTTCAATAAAACTGCTTTTCAGTGCAATTAAATAATTGCATTTAAATCAATCCTATTTTATTACAGAATAAAAATTAATTTTGTTTAAATAATTAGTTCCGAGCCATACCAATAGCAAAATTCCACTTTAAATTAATCATCTTTTAAATAGAATCAACACTTTAATGCAATTAGTTTATATAACTTCAGTGTTACTTATTCATTAAATATTCATTAAGCATTACATAATATTTTAATTATTGTTTTAATTTATTAATACATATTGATTTATATAACTTAATGTTAAAAAATTAAATTAATTTTTTATCTTTATTTCGTGGTTTACAAATGTTAATTCTTATTAATGAAATTAGTATTGATATAGAAAATAATATTTCTATTTAATAATCACAATTGTTTTTTCATTATACTGAAGCGATTTCTATAATTCTAATAACATTATCGATCTATTACTTTATTATTTATTACTTATTCTATATAAAATGATAAAAATATTAATCATTAATTTCTATTAATCATTAATACTATAAATATAAATGAAAATATCTTTCTCTATTGTTAGTTTTGAAGTGAAATGCGCGCCTGTTTTCTACTCTAATACTAAATTGACGAAAAGTGAAAGAGAGATCAGTTTAACAGAGGTTTCGTTCTCATTAGAGATATATAAATTCGATATTCGAGTGACGTTAGTAAATGATTTACACTGTAGTCTTAACTATTGCGGTTTTCCTTATTTCTCAAAACTTCATTATTCACTTATCTATATATAGATAAAACAAAAATTCAAAGAATTTGCACAATTTTCATGAAGGAAAACATCGAAGATCATCCTAGAAATAAAACGGATTGCAAAAGTAATAAGTTTGATGTCAAATTCGTAATTTTTATATTTTTATTATTACAAAGGTTATTGATCTTTAATACCTCAAACGCAACATATTTGAATTTGTTTCGACATAAAATAGTAATCAAGTAAACCACCATAAATCATTCTTTCTATAAAAAAAATTAGTTTCTCATCTTCTATAATTACAATCATTTCTCTCATAATCTCCAAAGCAAAACAAATTGTAAAATTTGATATATTATTATTTTGATATATTATTATTTAATTGTAAAATTTGATATATTATTATTTAATTGTAAAATTTGATATATTATTATTTTTTAAATTTATATTTTGTATAAAATTAAATATATTTTTACCGAATTCAACTGTAATAACTCAATAATTTCAAGATTCAAATCAAACTTATACTTGCATCAACACATGTCGTGCAGAAATAAGAAGTTCCCCAAAAAGAACGTGGATCTGGTTGATCATTTCCAATCCATTCTTAAATTTAAGAATACCTATTGGTTGAGAGTGTCACGCAGAACAAACAAAAACCTAGTGGATCGGTTACGCGTGAAAAATTAAAATTAATTATTCCCCTTATATTGTTAAAGAGCGTTTAGCTCCACCAGTCTGCCACAACGCGGCGCTAGTATTTCTTACCCCGTAAAACAAAGAAATTTTCATTTGCGAAAAAACCTAATTTAGCAAAATGAATTGTTAACTTTTGTGATTGTATTATTCTAATTAGACCCTTAGCTTTCTTTTCATACCTCATTTGACCCGTAAAATGCAGAAATAAGTATTTTTATAAATAATTAGTGCCATTGAGTTACCGCCACCATGTCATTTTGTGACAGTTCGCACTAATTACGAGAAAAACCTAATTAAAAGGAATAATTTCCGAACTTTTTTATATGCTTCCTCAAAACTAAGGTCCCTGCTTTCTTTCTATGTATATTTTGTCTTAAAAAAACGTATGTGTAAAAAGTTGATTTTTTTTCCAATAGATCGAAGGATGTCCTTGTCGCACACTGTTGCTTTCCTTGTCTAGCGTCATTAGACAAGGAGGGCACTAGCGTGCGACAAGGACAGACATCTGTGCGATAGACAAGAAGAGCAACAGCGTGCGACAAGGACAGATTTATGCGCGCGGTAGACAAAGAGGGCAAAAGCGTGCGATAAGGACAATAATATAAATTAGTTCCGGCACCTTTCCTAGGGGTGATCCACACGGTGCATTTATTAATTTTTTTTTACTCCTTTTTTTATTTACTCTAATACTTTAATAATAAACTATAACTAATAGCAATCAGATATGTTAGTTGGAATTTTTTCACAACTTTTTAATTTCATCATGATTTCTTCATTTATTAGACTAGAACGGATAATAATATAATATAACATTCACGAGGAATAATATCTTCTCATATTCGTTACATTTCTTTTCAGTGTGCAGCTCGATATCGTATCACAACAGATTTATATTTGCCAATCATATTAAATAACGATATTAGAAAATCATATCAAGTATCTGTACACTTTAAAAAAGTAAAAGTCTAGTGCAGAGACCTTGGATATAGAATTTCTAGTTCATGATACCATAAAGTATAGATCCTAACTATTTATCGTCTATTTAAGAATTATCATCTGTGAAATCTTACTTTATCGAACTATCATGTATAAAATTTTATGGATTTGAGATTAACTTTTAAATAATTCGAATAATTATTGGAAGAGGGACGATTTAATTATGCATTCGTGCTGCACACGGAAGTAAATTGAGACACGGTGACAATACTTTTGCTGGCGAACTCTCGCTTTCATAACTATACGCTTCAAATGATTCGGGGTAGATCCATTCCTCATCCGCCTATCATTATACATTCCTTTGGCATTGATTCTGTTATTACGTGAGAACGTCCTCGAATTCTTCGCCGATATACTCTGATTTCTTTACAATCGCTTTTCCTTCCTCCAACGCAACGGCTAAATTGGCGCAAAAAACTCCATACTCGTTAAGTCGTTAGACCAACGTTAATAAAATCCGCACAATGGATAGTCGAGAATATGTATTTCCCTTCTTCGTGGATTTCAACTAGATCCTTGTTGAAAAATGAAATTTTATGGGTTCATTGGTTCGTGTTTAGCAAAATATCAAATACTTCGCGATGTACCAACAGCAGCTTTGTATTGATTGCAAGTAGTGAAGGTCAGTTGAATTCCGACGAGTTTCAGTAGTTCAACTATGAGACGTAGCTTTATGCGCTTTTGTACACCTCGGTAGATACGTTATCATAGAAAAAAATAACATGGACTAATTGCACTATTGTTTCGCGTAGATCGTTTAGATGAAACAATGATTTACGCTTCTATTCATTTAGCATTGCAAAATGTTTTTGATTGGCTAGCTTATTAATTATAATTTATTTTCATCATATTTCTCCATTTCGAAAGTTCTATAGAATATTATACATTCGATATATAACATGGATGATGAGCAAGAAGCAATAAATGAAAAGATAATAAATAATTTGTTAGTTGAATAAAGGATTTTAATATATTATTAGAAACTGTAATAAATGGACAGTAACTTCATTGATTCCAACTTCAAGTCCTCTCGCAGTCTAATAGTCTAGCAGGAATATCATGATAACCTCATCGGCGTTGAAACTTAATTACTGAAACAGGGAATACCCAGTTGCATGCCACTATCATCGCTTTTATCACTGTCGCTAGTAATTACCATTAACAACAATTACTTATAATACATCGAGATCGTGTTATGAGGCTACTTTCAAGGTCGTCGCGCAGCATCCGAAAATACATGATCGTATACTATATCTATGGTATCTATACTACACCTGTTTTCCTAACAATTATATTACAGTCTACAGCGTTTTAGGAAAATCTCGATAGCTAAAAATACAGGTGTACAGATTTCTTTCGATCTTAACTTTTTTAAAATGCCTAGTAAAAAGCATGAAATGTACAAAAAAATCAAAATTGAGTACATAGTATCATGAAATCGGTGTTTAACGTATGCATCGAACGTGTATTAGAAAAGGTCTGCACGTATTAAACATGTTTGCACGATCTTAAGAAGAATGAAGGAAAAAGGTAAACTCCGGGAACCGGTCTCCTGGAAATTACGATGACGTAGATTCTGACTTGCATTCTAAAAACCCATAAAGGATGGACTTTCTGTGCTTTCCTGCCGGTTCATTTTCCCTGTAATCAATCTCTGTGTCATGTAGTATATACATTTGTTTTGCACGGGATGCAAAGTTACCTGAAAAAGTTCAATTATATGAGTCAACTTTCTTTCACTTTAAATCTTCTAACAAATTATACAAATTAAACGTAAACTACAACAATACAAATTATACGTAAAAGAGAAAATATATGCCATTATGATGTTTTTATTATAATTTTATAATAAAACATTTTTTTTAAGTATTAGATATAATAAAATATTAAAACACGCGGATATTAGATGACTAAGGTAATATATCGATAATACATATGATGATACATAGATAATGTATACGATAATACAATCGTAAATTAAAGTATTTGCATTGATTAAGAAGATGCAAATTAACGTTGATTTTTATTAAAATTGAAATATACGTATCTGCTTTTATTTCCATTATAGAAGCTGGTTATTCTGGAGTTAAGAAGTCCATTAATGTAGCCGCACCCAGGATTACGTACGCTTTATAAAAGCATTTTAAATCTTGGATTGCAGAAGTTATTTCTGAATTGACATTCATTACTGTGTCGAATAGTAATGATTAAAAAAATTAATAATCTGCAATTGTTAAAGACCAAAAGAAGGAAGAAATATCAAATTCACATTGATGGCCCAGAAAGTGATCCGAGGCGAAGAATGTTTTTAAATTGAATTATCTCCTTTGACAGAGTTGAGAGGTATAAATTTAAATTACGTCTTTAGTCGTTTCATTTATTGCCATATCAATTCCGTTAAGTATATTTTATTAAAGATCTTAATTGAATTTAGAAATGATAAATCTTCCTATATCTCTTTTGCAGGCTAAAATCATAAACTCATGAGTGTATCATGTCGATCTCGCAAGTTGCTGATATCTCGATGCTTTCCGCCAGTCGAGGCGCTACTTGTCACTTGAGACTGTGCATCTCGCGGTGCATGGTCCATGCAAAGTTGGGTATTTCCCTCTCAAACGCTGCACCGGGAGGATCTCGTTCGCTTGGAGGGAGGTATTCTCGCTTCCATGTCACTCTCACCGTGCACTCGCATGGTATATACTGAACGCGGACGCGAGATTTTGCCCGTCAGTTGCGCAATCTTGCTTTTTGGGGATTGAGTAGTGTCTTAACACGGCTTAACAGTTTAGCTAGATAAAAGAAGAAAAAAAAAAAAAGAAAAAAAGAAAAGCGATCGTCGGGGGAAAGAGAGAGAGAGAGAGAGAAAGAGGCAAAGATACGGTGCGGAACAAAGACAGGGGAAGAGTGATAGAGAGGGAAGAACCACAGGGAACATTCGCACTCTCCACGGGTTCTGTCGGTTCAGTCACACTGCGTCATTCGACTGAGCGACATCACGGTCGTTTCTCTTTCCTTTCAGACTCGTTGACCGCTCTCCTTTTTATTTTGTTACTTCTCTCTTCTCCCGTATCTCGAATCAGTACCTGTCTTCGTTCTTTCGTTTGATCCTCCGTTTTCGTTCGTATTCTCTCTTCGAGGAATAAAATCCAATCGCGATCGTTCGATCTTTCACGAACAACGAAACGTTAAAGTTTCCAAAAAGCAAAGGAAGGATAAGTGAAAGAAACAGAAACGTTGAACAATTTTAACGACGTTTCACATCTATTGTACCGGTGCTCGACGAAACTTCTCGAAGGGTTAATCAACAGATTCAATCTGACTGCGAGTAAGTTTCATCCGTTTGACGCTCGAATCTGATTCACTGAGATTTGCCGAACGCTATATGTACGTACACATAGTACATAAATACACGCGATATTGTTCGTGAATTCACGTAGTAAAAAAATTAGCAACGTGCTTCAAAACACTTCGAACCTTATACGTGTTCAACTATTTTCTCTTATGTTATGCTTCATCTTACGTTTTTATATATAAGACGCGAGACATTTTCTGTCGTAAAGTGTCAAGTTTTTCAACCTTTCGTTGAAATTTTAAAGACACAAGATTCGAAAAGTCATCGAGATTTATAAAATTTCGAGTATGAAATGTATCACGATATGATACGAATCTTTACAGCATTGGAAAGTTTCAAACTGTTTCGAAATTCAGAGTCAAACTGTCTAGAAGGTAGAAGCATCAGGGGCAAATTGGCAATGACCATCAACGTGACTCTATAATTCGTAAAAAAAAAAAAAAGGATCCTCTTGTCAAACGACACGATCGATCAGTACTTTCTCGCCGGCTAAATTTTTCCTGTCATAGAAAGCTGTAATACTAATTCATCGTCACACTTGAATTACTAGTATAATAGGATATCTCATAAACAGTAATGCTTCGCTAACTAGTCATGTATCATGTTGCTTGTTCGTACTTTATTAATTATCAAGCTATATAATATATCTTAATATATTGTAATATATTAACATATCTTATTATCTATATACATTAATATATCTTAATATATTGTAATATATTGTAATATATACCTAACACGTTTATTTTATTAATTTTGTACGCATATAATACCACGAAACTAGTTTCAAGAACTATTACGGCGGCCAGTTGACGAAGCATACAATATCAACTATTAATGTTTGAAAATTAAAAATGCTACAGATTCCTTTTTTTTAATCACGATTCGACGAATATAAACCGCTATTGTTCGGTTGTACATACGTATTGGTAAATAACACTGTAATACAATTATTGTTTTAAACTCTGCACGTTTACCGCCAGTCACTTCGTTTCTCTCTTTATTTTCCATTTGCCGTGTGCCGTATTCGTTTTACGAAACACTTTGAATCAATTCTGATAGAACGTCTGTGTTCTTCATCGATCCTCGAATTTAGAGAAGAGGCCGTGTTGCGATTGCTGCTGTAGTCGAGAGGAACAGTCATGAACGGGATTTCCAATCAATGCGCGAAAATCCAGGACCTGGACGACAACGAGGAGGATCGCAAGATGATAAAAAAGCCTGGACCACTGAGGACTGTTTCCTGGTCGGAGAGCGTCGAGGAGTGCAATTTAGATGTGCCGGGGACACCCAGAACTCCGCGTACCTCCACCACGCCAGGTATTTGTTTCCACAAATGATTAACAATTCTCCGATTAGGCATTTTACCACGTTCGCATCACAAATCACGAGGTAGATTCCTAGATTAATAATAGATAACGAGCTGGTGGAATGCCAGAAACGAGTATCATTTATTTCTACCTGATCACCAAGTAATTCATTTTTTTCGAGCTAAATAGACGTAATAATAATACGATACAATATCGAATATTATTATTAAATAGTGAAGCTGAAAGGCAATTCATGTTCATTTGCATTACATTTTGCATAATGGATGGAATGAAATAATTTTATATTATTGTGGATTTAAGTGTGGTAATATCGATGTTCCTTGAAAATTATATGATTTATGGTTGACCAAGTAAGTAATACGCGATTACATTATTATTGTGTGAAACAGCGTTCTCTTTAAATTCTCTTCATCCATTAAATTTTTCCTTAATAACGATCGTCATTAACTCCTTTGTGCACTCCAGTCGTCTGAAGAAGAATTATTTCAATTTCCTTAAGGTTGCAGTATTTTTCCCCATTAATTCCATGCCTAATCGATTGGACAAACGTAACAAATTCTATGAAATCGCAGTCTGTTGTAGTTTCTGTAAAAAAAAAAAAAAGACAAAGAAAAAGGAAAAAAAACGTCACGTACCAAGGATCACGATGAGACATTCGTTGTTACGTCTACTGTTTTTATCCATTACTTTTTCATTGTTTTTTAACCCGAATCTGGCTACGTGACTGACTTTTAATTTTATTCCGGAGATCATGTTGATATCATTGATGAAACCGACGGCACGTGAAAGAAATTTTGAGAGTTCCAGCTATAGTTTTCGTTTTCGGGTCAATCATAATCTACTGATCTTAAGATGATAAAAATCCTGGGTACTGTTAAGGTACAGTTATGATGAAACGTAACTGTAATGTTACGAATATACATACGTACGATTCCTGGAAACGTGACTATCAATTTTCTGATGGAAATTCATTTTCGGGTGAAAACAGATGAAAAAATTCCATGAATTTTCAATTGATCGTATCATCCAGTTCTCAACTTCTTTGACACACATACTTACCACGTAGTATTTTCGATTGCGATAGATAAACGTGAATCGATAAACGCGACATTGCATTTTTCTCGCATGCGACTTTTATACGAATGCAAATCTTGAAATGATTATTAATATTCGCGTGATAACCGAGTTGTTGTATGCCTTAGGCAATGTGCATGTATTATGTTTCGCAACAATCTCCTTATCAAAACTTGTTTACATTCCTGTCTTTAAACGAAAGTCTTAAAGTTGTGAGAAATTTTGCCGCTAAAATCACTAAATACTAGATTTGTGAACATAAACAGAAACCAGAGACATTAACATGTACATAATTATATTTTGATCGAACAGTCGATGTTGATCTTTAATAAATGAAAATTTATATAATTCGAGATAACGGACGTAATTATATCAAATCGAACTTGGCTAGCTAGTTTTCAACAATGCGTGCAATATGCATGCAAAATATTAACTGTGGAAAACGATTGATTCGGTATATCGGCGCAACGTCGTTACTCGGCTGAATCACACGATACCGTTCATTATAGCAAAAGGATGGTTTAACTTAGTTTCTCGCCGTGAATACGCCAGTTCCAATGTTAAATCCTGCCTTCCATGCTTCCACGAATAAATCTGCATCGAGAGAAGTCCTGGGAAGTTGTTTCGCTTTAATACGCTCTAGATTGCTCGCAAATGGAGCGTTATACAAGTGATAAATTATTTCTATCGATAGAAATCTCGTCTTCTCGTCGATGTAACGCCGTCGTTAATCGTTATGCAACAAGTTCGGCAAACGCGTGCAGGACGGAGGCGGCCGTCACTGGCGAACTTCATCGTGAAATGCATCACGAGATTGGAATATTATACGCATACATCGTTCGAATGGCAGCACGAGACCTCCGTCGAAACGATCGATCCATCGATTGATCCGTATCTGCTACCGTTAATTACAGCGTTATGCTAATTGCGAATGGGAACGCTTAACGTTCGTGAATACGCAATCGTTTTTTTTTTTTTGTTTTTCTTTTTTTGCTTCCTGAGGGAAGGGAAAAAAAATTCATAATAAGCTCGGTAATTGAAGTTGACGTTACGTATCGTTCTTACGTCGTTAATTCCTTTTACAGTTTTTTTTTCTTTTTTTTTTGCGACACTATCGAAGTCTCTAAAAATCCTTTTGTACATACATTTGTACGTACATACATACATAGTTCGGAGGATAATCGAGAGATGAAAGACACGTCATGAAAATCTTTATTAGTCAAAGATTTGCAGATAGGTGTTTGCTGACAACATTTATCGCGGTAGATATTACAAATAGCAGATACTCGTAAGTTTCTCGCGAAACAGAAAGATATCATTGACTTTTTGCGAATTATGAATGTTGTCGTATAATTATCTCTGGGTTATTGCCAGTGATAGCAACGACACGTACTTTGCTTCGGTTCGAATCGAGAGATCAAGAGTCAGTAACGAGATCTAGCTAAAAATGATGAATTATATACATTCGTGATATTAGATGTAAACACTGTGGGATAAATTTAAATTTTGAAATGTTAATAAAGCTCGGTGAATTTGAAACCGTGACCTAAGGATACTCTAAAATCTTTGTTCACCTTTTTTTCCAGGGCATGAAAAATGCATGTTTCATCACGATTTGGAGCTAGACCACAAGCCACCTACACGCGAAGCTCTACTTCCGGAAATGTCACGAAGTTACAGACTGCTATTGAGCTCACTTGGCGAGGATCCCGATCGACCGGGTCTTTTAAAAACTCCGGAACGTGCTGCGAAAGCCATGCTGTTTTTCACAAAGGGTTACGATCAGTCCATCGATGGTAAGTCGTCTTATATTTTTATTTATAACAAATGTATAAAAAGGAATAAATTGGGCTAAAGGCTTTATACTTAAATACCTAAGAATAAAAAACACATCGCACGATCGAAATTAAAAGTTAAGAGTTAATCGAAAAAGATTCAATCCTCTATTTAATCAAAAAATAATACATAGGGCAATTAATTATGAATCTCTGGAGGGACAAGGTCGATAGAACAGATAAAACAGATGAGTATGCCCACTCGAGGAAAGTGCCGTCCATTTCTTTCTTTCATCCTTCAAGTTACTTGAGATCTGTCACAGGGGAGAAGAGAAAAAGACTTAAGTACGATTCGAAAAAAAAAAAGAGAGCGGTAAAGCTCATGATATAAATGGGGCTCGGGGACGCACAGCAACTCGAAAAGGATTTTACCTTTTCCTTCCATTTGTCATATCCCACCGAGTGGAAGTTTTACTGTTAATTGTGATTCCACGGACAGCTAAATAAAATAGAATTATCGCTATGTTTTAATTTATCTCTCTGATTAAACCTCTGAAGTTTATTTCCTCGAAGGTAATATCAGGCTCGATTTATAATGATTTTATAAAAATTTATGTTCCAATTTTAATTATTAACAAACAATTTCTCAATCACAAAGGATCTATCGAATTCATCTAACTGATTAAATACACGTGGCAGTTTACGTGCCTTGCTTGTATTAAATGGATCTGGATAAAAAGCCGGATCTTGTACGACTTTGATGTAGGTGGAACAGTAGCTACAGGTGGCGGTGAGACTTTAATTCACTTCGACTTAATCCTCCATCCAGCTAGAGTGGAACTACCCTCGAAATAAGCCCGGTTAACGGCAGTTCTATTCGCCCCAGTGAATCTGAAACGAGTCCGGAGCACTTTCATACGAAAGCTCGACCCATACTCTCTCTCTTTCTCTCTTTCTCTCTCTCTCTCTTTCTTTTCTACTCACTCTCCCACACTACCCCTACGCAATTGTTCTCCTCTGACAAGTTCTCTTTGCCTTTCATTCTTACCGATAAGCTTCCTGCCCCGAATACCTGCTGGAAATGCATCTAGATGTAATATTTGTTTTCGAATGAAATCATCAGTCCCCCGTCTTTTCTTTAATGAAGACTTGAGAGATCATTACAGAAACATTAAAGAAACTCTAGAATCGGTGGCAGAAATCGGGTCGAGCTTATGGCCATTAAAATCCTATTATAGGATTAACATTGAGTTGAGCATTCGTTAACTATCGTTGTAGTTCATATTACAGATTAATATACTGTGCAAAACTATTACAGACAGCTCATTGTTCTATGGATGTAATGTCAAAATCGATATAGCCCGTTGTCTAGCTTTCCGTGCCATATGTTCGCGATTGCACTTTCTCTTTTTCTTCCCTTCCACTATTCGATCCTACTATTTCCGTGGATAAAGATTACCAATAAAGGATATATAACGATTGTTAGATTAATGAGTTTCTGTTCTTCATATTCTTACTTTCAGTCGAATAGAATTAATCCGGATCGAAGGCCGATCGTGTTAGATCGCCGAGTCGAAAAATTAAACTGTACGCTTTCAGCGTCTGCTTCAAAGGTAATACATATAGAAGAGAGGAAATTGCTCGAGTCTAGTCTATCGTCGAGATGTATGTATGTAGGTGTGCGCGTAAAAGCATACGTTGAAATAAATTTCCACGCGTCGAAGCGTTTAGAATTTATTTTTACCATTTTTTCGTCGCGCTGAAAAGGTTTCGTGATGTCGAAGGATCATTTATTCACATCTCGGCAGGGGCATCTTGTTACACATTGAAAAATACACTTGGTTAACCGGGACGCGAATTCGTTTCATCATTGCCGGTCATTGTGAAGGTGTTTCTTGTTAAGGTTGCCGTGGAAACCGTGGAGAGCACCCTCCATTACCTACCCACTGACACCTAGCAACCACCGATTCATACCTACACACCACCATCAGCGTGGACGATGTAGTAAGTAGGTCAATATCGAGTAAATCACAGCTAGGATCGTGAGGACCTTAACCCACGTGCAAGATGTGCTCTCGTAGAACAATTTAAACGAGCAACATTTTCCCATCTTTGTACAAGGTTGGTTGTTTTTTTCTCGGACACGAAGTCGCTGAAATTGTGCAACGATCGTGCGATCTCGATAAACGAGAACTGCCTCTGGAAATATCTGCGCAACATTTTTTCCAGCACAATATATCTGTGATTCTTGCTTCCTTATTTATATACATGAAAGGATGCGATAAGTCAGATTTCGAAACTACTCTTCAAAATTTTCAAAATGATGATTGCTCTGGCTTAATAATTAAAAATTTATATACATTAAACTTAAATCTTTGAGCCTGTGATTATATCATGTTATAATTTCCATTAATATTCAGTCATTAACAACATTAGAATCAATTATTTAACTCGAGTGTTGCAAGAGACCAATCAGATTTTTCTCTTACAATTTTCATGCAATATTCACGAACGTGTGCATAATGAATTCCTTTCTATTTTTCAGATGTTATAAACGACGCGATATTCGACGAAGATCACGACGAGATGGTTGTAGTGAAGAATATCGAAATGTTCTCCATGTGCGAGCATCACTTGGTACCGTTCTACGGAAAAGTCTCGATCGGCTATCTCCCCTGCAAGAAGGTCCTCGGCCTGAGCAAGTTAGCTAGGTAACGAGGAATTTTCTTAATTAGAAGGCAACGTTTATCGAAAAATTCAATTGACATGAGTCAGGTCGGTGCTATAAATCCCGTAAAACAAACTGGCTGAATTGTTCGTTCAGATCAAGGCAGGTAATATCTCGTCCCGTGGAAATGGCGATTAATTGACGGTAGATTATTTGCATCGGCGACAAATTAAATCGCTCTGATTGAACTGTCATCATCACCCGTTTTATTTCTGCTAATAACCATATCTTGACTCGCGCAGTTTTATTTTCCACGCGATTAAAACCTGTCTCCCACGAAGCTAAGTGGTTACGACGTGATCCGATTGATATAAAAATTATTGAACGTTGATTATTTCTCTCGTACATCAGCTGTATGTTTTTATGGATCAATCGAGTAATAGATAAGAGTAATAAAAATTTAAATTTGTTATCGAGCATAGAGTGTTTTGTTAGATATTTACGTAGCTTTTGTGAAAAGAGAACAACTCGCTGAAATAAAAAAATCGATTAGCCCTGATCGTGAAGCAATAGCATGATATGAATTGTTTCACAATTTCGAGATAACAAATTGCATTGGTGGTAATAGTCAACAGTAGTAGTTACGGCCTTGATTGAAAGCATGTTAAAGCGGAAAGAAAAGAACGACGAGGGCCGATCGTTGGCACGCTGGCCACTTTCACCCATTGCTAGACTCAATTGACGTCCGCTTGTCAGTTTTAAATGTTATGAACTTAACATTATCCTTCAAACGGATACGATTTTCAGACATCCGAGTCACGGTCGCGGCGGGAACGTTCATTCTTTGCGTTTCTCACGGCGTGTTTCACATTTTTCTAATACTCCAAATATATACTCACTCTCGTTTTCTTATCTGACACCTTACAGAATCGTAGAGATTTTCAGTCGACGTCTTCAGGTTCAAGAACGTCTTACCAAACAAATTGCAATAGCGGTGACGAAAGCGGTACAACCAGCGGGAGTGGCTGTGGTCGTCGAAGGAGTGTACGTATATTTTAACAAAAAGAAAATTCATCCAGTATTCTTACAATAACCCTTATAATTTAACGATACAAAGAAAATGTACAAGATAGATCGGGAAGATATATCATTCCATCATATAGTCTCGCATTTCCGTCGGTTTCGTTCCAATGCACTTGGATCTTGAGCAATAGTTTTCGCAAGGATTAATCGTACGTAAGAATCTGACCTTGTTCTAACAAGGTGCTATCACTCGATAGAAAACGCTTCAATCTTCAGAACGTATGTATAAAGATATCTAATTCGTTTATGTGTAAACATATTTAACAATTACGATCGTGTAATCTACTAAATAACAAGTCCATTAGTAGTCTTCGATATTAAGTTGTGTTCAACAATTCAAATATCGTAATCTGTGTCACACATATTTACGTGTATATATATAGTCATTAACTGCAAATAAATTATCCAAGTTTCACGTGATGAAAAAAAAAAAAAAAAAAAAGAACAGGTTCGGTAAAGGGAAAAATAGGATTTCATTTTGTAATTAAAAAATTATGTGTAAGATGATTAAATGATACATTGAGAGCTTATAAAAATAGGGGATTGTTCAAGAGATTAACTATCGTCTTTAGTACTAGGATCTCTTTTAAAACAGCGAATACGTAATTTTTGTTTGATTGTATGCACATTGTTTAATATACGCGTTACAATGTATTAAAATTATAATAATCTTTATTTCTTGGTCATTAGATAACAGTATACTTGTTATCTAATCTCGTAGCTAGATCCTAAGCTCTATTTAACGCAGTGAATTAATTGCTCTCGATTCTAATGGTGAGGCTTGATTAATTATTCAACAGCATAGCAATACTTGCAGAATAATAAAAACATTATTATGTATCCTTATGTTACAGACACATGTGCATGGTGATGAGAGGAGTGCAAAAAATAAATAGTAAAACGGTTACGTCAACGATGCTTGGTGTGTTCCGAGATGATCCAAAGACTCGTGAGGAATTCCTCAATTTAGTCCACAACAAGTAAATCTCTTTCGTCGGATCGTCGAAGCGTTATTGGCCACAAGGAACCAATTTAAAATGGCCCAGATATGATTCTTGTTTAAACGTTTTTGTCATATTGCTACCTCACTACAGAAGGCGTCCAAAAAACAGAAAAAAAATTATTAACTCGACGGCGTGTTTCTTTGTAACATTTCTTTTACTTTCTTTTTTTTTTTTTAAGGATATATCATTTCGTACATGCCGATATCATAAAAAAAGAAATATAATACTTGATTTTAAGAATATCGTTGTACAATCAGAATAGTCCTGTCGACTATCGCAAAAGAACGACAAGGCTGGATAATGTTGTCTAAGACGTCTTTGAACAAGACGCCCTTAAACTGCTGATCGAGTGACACAGAGACAATATGGTAGTTACATAACTTACGAAACTTTGCGTGAGTTCTACAAACTGCTGCAACGCTTCTACTATCAAAAAAAAAAAGAGAGAGAGAACTTACGGATCGTTTCGCAAAATGACAACGTTTATCTTCGTTAGGGAAAATCGACGCTTTCAAAAATATATTAATAACATTACCACGCTGCTGGACCAGCGTGGTAAGCTGTAATTATTCGTTTTGGTTATTGTTATACATTACAAATATCGTAATGTTATTGATGTATTCAGGAAATGGACAAATAATATTCAGAGACAACTACGTTTATAAAAATGAACTTAAGAAACTCAGATGGGTTTCTCGATCGGCATGAACTATCAACGATTGCCAGGACACTTTCAACCAATGGCCTCGTGACTCGTGACAATACATACATATTTTAGATTCTATACTAACACATTCTGACTGAAAAGTGCCCGCCGTCATGCCAATCGAGAAATACTGATAAGCTCTATTATATTTTGAAAGCGAAATGCTTACGGCAAACAAACGACAAACTCCTTCGATTCCGTTATCGTTTCCAGCTTGTAAAACGTTAACAGCCATACGTCTTACAACTCGAAACGTTTTGAGAAGTTCCACACTCTCTTTAGATTCTGTCATCATGATTTCTTCTTGTTACTTTTTGTTACTACTAGAAACTTTTCCTGTACAACTGATACTTACGTGTGCAGTCTCTTTTTATGGAAAACGGAAGCAATTTCGACGCACAATTTTTCAGCCATACAATGTGCGTCGAAAAACGAATGTAAAAGAATCAATAGAAAAGATTATCAAATTTGTTTAATAAATTGTATATTAATTCTTTGCGGGCGAAACGGTTTGAAGCCGAACGTTCTGCAGAATCGAGTCGCTGCAGTGACAGTCGTCTGAAATTATAGTTTAATTGCACACGATATCGCTCATAACGTTCCCAGATGCCAAATTTTAGACATATCTATGAAAGAATTATAAAATATATTTACTAATACTTTTTATTAGATAAATTATTAATACCAAATTACATTTAATAATACAACTGTAAATAACAGCTGTCCAATTTAATTTGTGGGCGTTTTTGTAGCACTTCTTTTTCCAATGGAAGGTGAAATTTGCTAGATTTTTCTTTTTTTATCTTTAATTTGTTAATAAATAACGTACGCGTTATATAATGATAAATTTAATATCTAATGAAAAAAATATTTATTTTGCCATCTTATTGCTTTTCTTAAACAATCAATATTATAAACACAGACCATATTTGTTTAATATGTGTTTAATTTCGACTCTGTTGTTTCGCAAAACGCATAATATGTGTGTTTCGGCTCTATTGATTGTTTTCACCGAACGCATAAATGCTACATTTATGACGTTAAACACATATGCGTCGATCGTCCGCAAAGGATTAATGCATAATACCGAAATGTTTCGACACAAATGTATATTTATGTCATTGTTTTATACATATAGTTTCAGCTAATCAAATTAATTGCTTTAGATAATCAAAGTTCATATCTAAATCATGGGAAATTATATTCGAATATAATAACGGTTAGTACTTAAAATGAGTAGAGCATTACATATTTTATAATTGTTATTACTTTATTTTAGCCATGACATCGTCCGTTGTCGTATCGTTTAAAGAGAAATTTCAAAAATCGGTATCTCAATAGATCAGATTCAATGATTGGTGAAACAGATTGTTTTTATTTTTCCAAATACTGTTTGTGAATATTATAATTTCATTACGCATTCGTTGAAACTTCTATGAAATGTGTAAAATACTATGTATCAATGATGTTTAAGGTATAAGGTCCAACAGAATTTCACGGTATCTTTGATATGTCCTCCAATTCTATTTTACATTATATAATGAAAGAAATATTTTAATGTTATTTATGAGAATGGATATTTAATATTTATAATATTTTTCTGATGATGTTATATAAAGTTATATTTATACTTTCAATGCCACGTTTCTTTATTACTTTCACATCATAATATGAAAGACACTACAATTTTAAATTTAAACGATTCGTTTGATCGTGTTTTAATTAAAAAGTTCGGAATTTCTATAGTGAAGAGGTATATTTCTATTTTTATATGAAGAATATTTATGATTTTTAAATGCGTCGTATTTTATACAACGACATCAAATTCACTTCATGAAGCTTTTATTCGTATTATCACGTCATATCTTCACGGCTAATACTATTGCAATGAAATAGTTAACTTTAATATTTATATCTCAATAATGAAGAAATGAATCTTATATAAATCTGGGACACGGTGGTATTTCAATCTTTTTCATAACCGGTGAGCCACAAACTTGAGACATTAACATGTTATTTGAGATACAAATATTTTCCGTGTCTCTCTGATGAAGAAGAAAAAGCATACTACTGTTCGACGCGGGTTTCCGACTTTTTCCAGCAGAACAGCAAGGACTGGCACAAGGTCGTTTTACAGTATAATAACTTTGTTCGTGAACAGTATTTCTTCCACTATTGCCAGTACGTTGAGTGACGCAACCTTTAGCGAGACCAGCCGATGCACCGTCCTTTTTACAAGGCACAATCGGTTCCCTGAAAGTGAAACTTTAATGAGTCAAGATTGACCTTGTTTAGACATAGATCGATAAATGCTCTTTCTTTTTTTGTTTCGAAATGAAAGGATCATAAACGCATAGTATACAGACTATCAATAATAAATGTTTCTTTTTCCCTTCATTAACATCATTAAAATTAATTTCTTTCTTTGTATCCTTCAGTTTTGAATACTGATTTAACTATAAGATACGAAATTTAAAATCATACGTAGCAGAAGCAGGACAAGGTGCACAGGGAGTACAACATGGAATTGGCGGACAACGCAAAACTCTCAATGCTTCGACATTCAAAGAAGAAACACCTCGTAGTAATGCTCGTTGTATCGCATTCTCATATTCGGCACGTTCTTTTATTATACGTTCATTTTCCTTACGAAGTCTTGCTATCTCACCTTCAAGCTGTTTAATCAAACAGAAGTTATATCAAAACATTCTAATATAATAGTGTGTTTCATCTAAATTCGAAGACAAAAGTAACGAATCTTTTTATTTACTTCGATTTCTCGTCTCAGTGAATCTTTATCTTTCAAAATTGATTGAATAGCTGCATCTGTACAAATTTCAATCTCTTTGGGCTCTTTTGTTATTCTTTCAGTGTCTTCTTTTATCACTCTTTCAGTATCTTTTTTTATTACTCTTTCAGTATCTTCTTTCATCACTCTATCTTTTTTCATTACTCTTTCAGTATCTTCTTTTATCACTCTTTCAGTATCTTTTTTTATTACTCTTTCAGTATCTTCTTTTATTACTCTTTCAGAGCCTTCGTTTTTTTTTTCTTTTTCTTCAGGTTCTTTTGGCTTTTTTATATGTTTCATAACAACTTCTTCTTTTCTTGCTTCCTCAATAACAGGTCGAGTTTCTGGTTCTACCGAAGCCTCAGTTATTCTAGTTTCAACTATCTGAGTGGCTACATCTAATTTCTATAATAATATTACAATATAAAAATAATAATAAAAAAAAAATTTTTATTGGTAAACTCACCTCTCGTTCTTGCCGGCATTCTGCCAGCAATTTCCTTAGATTGTTGATTTCACAAGCTTGTGCTATCAGTTCTTTACGTAATGCATCGATCTCGTTCTTACAAATGTCCAACTTGTTTTGAACCAACCCAATCCATTGTTGTATTCGACCAAATATGTCAGCGAACATCAACTTTTATAAAAATAAATTCAATTCGCATGTATTACCTTATATGTACTTATATCTACTTATATTTTAAGTAGAACTACATTTTCTTTATAAAAAAATTACGAATTTATTTGTTTTACGAAATTGGGAGTTTTAAACGACAGTCTCATTCATTCATTTTTATTTATTTGTACATTCAATTCTATAAAGCGATTTTATTTATTGTACCCTCGTTTTCCCAATTTCATGATGATTCTACTTGCGTACAGGGCTCAACCTTTGAATCATGCTCAAAATTCTCGCCTAAGCTGGCCAATGCTTTACCGACTTCTTGTAAATTATGATGCACATAATCAATCATTTCATCCACCTTCTTATCTCTGCAGTTACAAAATAATGCTTTAAATACTTTAATTATTTTAGTTACTAAAATTGCTTTTTCAAAAAAAAATTTGTCTTTTTAAAAAATTGAATGAAGGAAAATAATATTTATACCCGGTTAATTCTGACACTTGCGACATGCAAATACAGCATGGTCCAACTGTAAGAATAGATTTTCCATCTTCTTTTTTCACAGATGCTATTTCTACTGCTTCAGTTTGTTCCACAGTTTTTTCCGCTGGTTTCGGTATCTCTTCCCTTTCTTCGAAAGCATCTGCCCCTCCTACTAAACGATCTAGATTTTTCACAGAACAATTAAATTTACGGCTTGTTGTAATTAACGATTTCTTAAATTTAAGCACTCTATTTGATGGTTTACGATTCTCATCGACAGCATTATTTCCTAAAAATAATTTTCTATCGTTACTTATGGTTATAATCATTTATGACAGTATCAAAGGTCTATGCATCTTACTGTTTTTGGATATATTCAACGATGGGCGAAACATTTTTTTAGTTTATGTGTAACATAATGAATCGTATGATAATAATATAAATTAACTTAATTAATTTTTACATAAATTTTAAAATTTAATCTTGAAAAATTTATCTGAATAAAGATGTACAGAATGTTATTATAATTTTCATTTGTTTCTGCAATACTAGAACACATACAAAGTATATGTTTTAATAATGTATAACACTTAAAATAAAAATAGATTAAATGCAATTAAATACACTAAATATTTTTTTAAAATTTTTTTATTTCTATCAAAGTATAAGTCTTATGATATAAATATAAATATAAATTTTAAAAATATGTAACGGAATCTTAGATATTTTTAGGAGACGAGGCATTTTTAGGAGGCGGTTTATAAATTCCAACTACAACAGCATGATCTCTTTCATATGGTTCTAGTGTGATTTGTTCTTGTGGTTTAAATTTGTCAGCAATTAATTTTTTCACTTCCGAGGCAAATACTGCTTCAGGTTGAGCTGTGGAATCTATACAACTCGCCTAAATCAAAGATAATCACTATATAAACTTAAATGCACATGTAATTTATGAGAAATATTTGAATATTTTTTTAAATATTAATTATTTTACACACACATATATATATATATATATATATATATATATATATATATATATATATATATATATATATACTTGCCTTAATAGAAATAACAAAGTGACCTCCATTCCTTAAGTAAAGTTGGGCATTCAGAGCTAGTATCCTGGCTTGATCAGGTTGTGCCACATCAGCAAATATTGTATCTACTATTCCAACAAGCATCCTATACTTGAGAGGATGTCTTGCATCTTCAATTATAGGTACAATATTTATTCGTTTTTGTGCAACATTTAGAAGATCTCTGCCAGATCTATGAGAAAATTCTACAGCATATACTAGTCCTTCCTAAAACAAATTTATAATCATATGTTAAAAATAACTTGTAGATTTAATTATTACTTGTTGATTAATTACAATAATAAATTATTAATTTTGTACACACGTTTTTTTAAAGTAAGACATAATGTATCCTACTTAGTTAGAAAAACGGGAATGTAATTTATATAGCATAATTCCGACACCAAATTAGCAATAACACACTAAAGTGGCTCTAATGTATGCATTTATACATATTAAAAAAAAAAAAGATATAAACTCACTGGACCAACAATATCTGATACATGTGACACTGTAGTTCCAGATGCAGCACCTAAATATAAAACTTTGCTTCCACGAGGCATATGAATTTGATCTATTCCTCCAAGTATGGCTGCAGCTAATTTTGATCTAAATGGATTCCAAACCCTATATTCAATCTTCTCACCATCCTCGCCCTGCAATATTCACATAATTAATCATTTTATTTTTCAAAAATTAAAAGACAAATTATGTTAATTTGCTTATATTACCTGTACAGTTATCCTCTTTTCACCATATACTTCTGAACCTGACACTGAATTTAAAGTAACTAATGCATCTTCTTTTCCTCTAGCTATAAAAACACCTTCATGACGATGTGGTTCTATGACTACAGTTTTGCCACCTTTAAAACCACCTCCACCGCGTCCTCCTCCTCTTCCTCCTTTACCTACACGTCCTTGCATACCTCCACCTCTTCCACCACCACCTCCTCTACCACCTCCTCGACCACTTCCAAATCCTCCTCTTCCTCCACCACGTCCACCTCCTCTACCTCCTCTAAATCCACCACCACCTGGTGAAAATCCTATAACAAAATTAATTTTATAAATTTCTTGGATACGTATAAGTGTATAGGTTAATGCAATGTACTATCGTACAAATATTAAAATTATAATTTATTTGACTGATGCCCTACGTATTCACATAAAAAATGATTGATCACGTTCGCCTAAATTTATATATATAATTTATAAATTAAATAACCTTATAGTGCACGAGTATAAAATAAGTAATTATTTACATACTAAATTACAAACATCGTGTTATGACACTAGAAATTTTCATTTCACAAAATATCGATATAAATACAATAAAGAATATAAAAGCAACATGAAAAAGATTATTAATTACCTGGTTTTCCCATTTTAGAACTTAAATATCCGACTTTTTATTCTGAATTTATATCAGAAATGAAGACTTGTACACAACGTCCGCACGTGCGGCACAACAACTCTGCACGCCCTCGCGGAAATGACATTCAATCCCAAACATCTTCCGGTTTAACTCGATATATCGGTTTTAATATATTTACATTATCGATACATTAAGATCGATTAATACCTCAAAAATTTACTGTATAAATTTGTAAACAATTTATTATCAAATAATTTTTTACCAAAATATTGTTTTATACGAGTTGATTATCATTATTTCAAATATTAATTATTTTTTAGTATATAAAAAATTTATATAAATTTTCCTTTTAATTTTTTTTATGTATTATATGTATAAATAAAAAATATGTATAAATTAAATATATAACGTATTGAAATAAACTATGCATCTATTATATTTATGTTTTTAAAGCTAATAACTTCTTGTTACATTTAAAAAAAAAAAATTGTTTTATGAACACAAGATTCATAATTGTGAAGCATGTAAACTTCTATTTGCGTATTTGTGTTCTATAATCAGTTAAAATGTCATTATGTGTATAACCTTACATATACTTTGTTTGAAACCTCATGGTTTTTATATTAACAAATAAATGTTATTATCGTGTATCCTATTTATGTAATAGATATATACAATTATGAAGTAAACATCAATTTTCATTTTCATTCTTTGTTACTTAAAATGTAAAGTTTAACTATGTATTTACATTTACAGAATCACTGTTGATGGTCTACTTGTATATTTTCCTTATGATTACATTTATCCAGAACAATATGCTTATATGCTTGAGCTTAAACGAGGCCTGGATGCTAAAGTAATTATTTCGTATACTTTTGTGATTATTCATATCATTATTGATTAATGTTTAAATTTTATTTATAATTTTTAGGGGCACTGTTTATTGGAAATGCCCTCAGGCACTGGCAAAACCATAACTCTGTTATCATTAATTGTAGCATATATGTTGGAAAATCCATTAGATGTGACAAAGTTAATTTATTGTTCTCGAACTGTACCAGAAATAGAGAAAGTCATAGAAGAATTAAAAAAGCTTATAGACTATTATGAAAAAGAAACGGAAAGTAAGCCTAAAATTGTTGGCTTAGTTCTTAGTTCACGGAAAAATATGTGTATTCACCCAGAGGTAATCAACTTTAAATTTGATTTGATAAATTAAATAAATAAATGTGCACATGTATTAGTTGACCAATAATAGATTTAAATTAGGTAAGCAAAGAACGTGAAGGCAAAATTGTTGATGGACGTTGCCATTCTCTGACAGCATCATACATTCGTGAGAGACATAATTATGATGAATCAACACCAATTTGTAATTTTTATGAAGGATTTGACATGGAAGGTAAAGAACAACTTATGCCACCAGGCATATATTCTATTGATGATTTGAAAGAATATGGAAGAGACCGCAATTGGTGTCCTTATTTTCTTGCAAGGTTTACAGTAAGCATTTTAGAAAACAAGTAATTTATATATTAAAATAGTGTAAAATAAGTACTAATCCTTTTTATCATGTTTCTAGATTTTACATGCCCAGATTATAGTATACAGTTATCATTATTTATTAGATCCCAAAATTGCAGAAACTGTGTCAAAAGAATTAAGTAAAAGTTCTGTGGTAGTATTTGATGAAGCTCACAATATAGGTACAATGCAATTGTATGACATAAGATTTAAATAATAGAATTTAATTACTCAATTAATTTTAGATAACGTATGCATTGATTCAATGAGTGTAAAGATTAATAGAAGAAGTTTAGAAAAAAGTTCAGCCAATATACAACTTCTTGAAAAAACAGTGGCCGAGTAAGTTATATTCTAGTTATATTCTAAATATTACATTAAATAATGTGAATAGCTACTGTAGATATATTAATTTAGGATGAGAGAGGATGATGTAAATAAATTAAAAGAAGAATATGAGAGATTAGTAGAAGGATTAAAAGATGCACATGTTGCAAGAGAAACTGATATAATATTAGCTAATCCTGTTTTACCAGACGAAATTCTACAAGGTAAATTATTAATTCTAAATATGTCTAAAATAATAATAAATAATAAAAATAATAATGAATTCTGTAATTATGTAAATATTTGTTATAGAGGTGGTTCCTGGTAATATTAGGAACGCAGAACATTTTGTCAGTTTTTTGAAACGATTTGTAGAATATTTAAAAACGCGTTTACGTGTGCAACATGTAGTTCAAGAATCACCTGCTGCATTCCTGAGAGATGTTCAAACAAAAGTTTCAATAGAACGTAAACCATTAAGGTTTTGTGCCGAACGACTGGCTTCTCTCTTACGTACTATGGAGATAACCGATTTAACTGATTTTTCACCAATTATATTAGTGACACATCTTGCTACATTAGTATCTACATATACGAAAGGATTTACAATTATTGTGGAGCCATTTGATGACAAAACACCAAATGTTCTAAATCCTATTCTTCACTTCGTTTGTCTAGATTCGTCTATTGCAATGAAACCTATATTTGATAGATTTCAGTCAGTAGTAATTACATCAGGAACATTGTCTCCATTAGACATGTATCCGAAAATATTAAATTTTCATCCAGTCATAATGTCATCTTTTACTATGACATTAGCTAGACCTTGTCTTTTACCCATGGTGAGTATAATATTGTTTAGAATATCAGTTGTACTAAAATTTTAATTGTAAAATAATATCAGATTGTAGCAAAAGGTAACGATCAAGTTGCGATTTCATCAAAGTATGAAACAAGAGAAGATGTTGCTGTTATAAGAAATTATGGTCAACTATTAGTTGAATTTGCAGCTACTGTTCCTGATGGTTTAGTCTGTTTTTTTACCTCTTACTTATACATGGAATCTGTTGTTGCTGCATGGTTTGTATTAATTATCTTGTACTTATAACATCATATATATTAAAGTCAATCACGACTGTTGTCATTCGTGCATTTTTGAATATGTCTGTTCTTTTCAAAGACCACCCACTGTTGTGGGAAATGAAATGAACTTTTACTTAAATTACTGAGTTTAATTTATAGAACCAGCCTATTGGCTTCTATAACGACATGATGACATTGGCCTCTCACAAAGACTTAGTTGTATATCGATTACAACTTATGCTTACTTACATTCACTATGATGTATGCTTCGTTCTCACTAATTATGATTAACTTCTTCGCTTCTCACTATCCGCGAGTCTATTTTATATGCATTAGTTATTTAAATTATATTTAAACTATGGACGTATTTTATTGCCCTGATATAATCCGTGAAAGTCATTCCTCGATTGGGAGGTCGATGTTGAAATTTACCTTATAAAACAAACAGACTTTCTATTCAGCGACCAAGGTGACAATAGTAAACGCTCCCGACATAATGACCTTGGGGAAACGCGGTGAATATTTGGACTTTTTGTCAGTATAAAAAAAAGGACGAATCTGCGATAAATATATGATAATTTTTTTATATCAACAAGAAGTCCTGAGCTGTCCTTTGTCTGTTAGCAAATTATACATACATAGACAACGTTACTTGAAATCAAGTGGCATTAACATATATTTATATTTTATTTTTCTAGGTATGACCAAGGTGTAGTAGATCAACTTCAAAGGCACAAATTATTATTTATTGAAACTCAGGATTCTGCTGAAACGAGTTTAGCTCTTATAAATTATATACGGGCATGTGAAAATGGAAGAGGTGCTGTTCTCCTTTCTGTAGCACGTGGTAAAGTATCAGAAGGAGTTGATTTTGATCACCATTTAGGAAGAGCTGTTTTAATGTTTGGAATTCCTTACGTGTATACACAATCACGTATTTTAAAAGCACGATTAGAATATCTTCGTGATCAATTTCAAGTAGGTCATTAAACGAAATTGTAAATTTATAAATATTTATATTAGTATCATTAGTAATATATCCATTGTTTTTTTTTATAGATTAGAGAAAATGATTTTTTAACTTTCGATGCAATGAGACACGCAGCACAATGCGTTGGAAGAGCAATTAGAGGAAAAACTGATTATGGTATAATGGTATTTGCAGACAAGGTAATAAAAGTGATAAAAAGTAATTCCAATTTTTAGTAATCATATCTTTAACAAAACGTTTCTTTTAGAGATTTTCGAGAATAGATAAACGAAGTAAATTACCAAAATGGATACAAGAACATTTGACTGATAGTTTATGTAATTTGTCAACTGAAGAAGCTGTGCAGGTAAAATTTTAGATTTAAAACTTTCAAAATAAGAATTATTAATTACGATTCTAACTTTTAGATAAGTAAACGTTGGTTACGACAAATGGCTCAGCCATTTACGAGAGAAAATCAATTGGGATTATCCTTATTGACACGAGAACAGCTTGAAAAAGAAGAATATAGTAAAATTGAACAAAAGGCGCAACAAAATTAAATATTTAATATTACATTTATAGTAAATTTTGTGCCATTTTTAACAAATAAAATAAAAATATATTATAATTTGTATAGTATTTGTATTAAAAAATGTATTGATTTTTGCAATGAAAAGTATTTTTTTCAGTAATATACAATTTTTATAAACTAATGAAATATTTAAAAACTTGACCATAATTAAGAATAAAAATTAACAAAGTGCAGCAAATCATAAATGGGGCACAAAAAATATACTTATGCAATTAAAAAAGTTTAATAACAAAGTATGGTGATGAAATTTTAACAGTGTACAAAATACAATTATATCTATGAAATTCATTTAATATCACCACCTTACAATAACTTGGTCTCCATCTTGTATTGAGTAATAGCTGAGTTCTTGAAGTGGTTTATCAAGAGGTATTTCGTCTTTAGAAAGCTAAAAAATTACATAAAAGTGGTATAAAGAATCAATCAAAATCCAGTAAGTTCATTATTATATAAATATGTTTAAGCAAACTTGTTATTTTACAGCACACTCTGATATATTATAAAATATTATAATTACATTTTGTTGTATAAATGAAAGTTTTGGTATTTTTCCTCCTGTTCTAAAAAGTCGTTGTGCAAGTCCAATAACTTTTTGAACTTCCATATCTTTTAAAAGTTTTCTCTTGATTCCTCTAGGTTGATTCGGATGATCCGGACATACAAATTCTACTGTTATGACATTGGAAACCATTTCCACTTTCGTTTTGGATGAGGGAATATCAGAAATTCCATATTCTAAAAATTTTTCGCAATATATTATGATTAATTATTAAAAATTTTTAATATATCATATTTTGTAAATGTACATCATTACTAACTTGCAATCAATGCTGGATATCGAGGATGTTCAATTATGAATCGATTTCTCTTTTCGGTCTCATTTTCTGTTTCTAACCATTTTGGTAAAAATAATTTCAAATAATCATACTCAGCACCCCGTCTTTCATTGTATAAAATTTCAGTGCCATTTAATGATTTCAATTTTGAGATTCTTGCTATAACTAATTGTCGTGCAGTCTCTATATTTTCATTTTTTAAAATAGGATTTTCTCTAAATTTCAAATCTTCTAAATTATTAAGCTTTTCTAGTTCTGATACAGATTGCCACTATAAATTATATTGCAGAATTATTTTACTTTAGAATTTATCTATGCCATATAAATATTTACCTCTGATATGTTATTTTGAGATATATGTAATTGCCGTAAATTAGAAAAGGCTGTAGTTTTTGCTGTTGGTTCAATGGTTGGGAACCTTATTTTGTCTACTTTATTTGAATTTAAATTAAGGTATTCTAAGCTGCAAACAAATATATAAATATAAATATTTTACTAATACACATCATTACAAATTATAGTTAATTGTGTATATATAAATTAAATCTGTTATAACTTGCCATGGAAGTGACCCTAATTTAAGAATATCATCCCAATTAGATATCAAATTTCCTTCAAGAGTTAATTTACATATTTTCGTTAAATTGTCATCTTTTAATGGTTTTTGTATGATGTTAATAATGTTAAAAGAAACTGAAAGTTCTTGTAGAGATGGAAACATACACATACACCGTTGAATATCAAACCAATTATAATTCATTTTTGCTATGGTTAAATATTTAACCATAAAAAATGAAACTTTTAATACTTCCATATTTTCTTCAGTTGGTAAATAATTTTCACTAAATAAGTAATAGAAATAACAGACAACAATAATAATAATTACTTATTATTAACAAATTTAATTAAAATTTTGGTAATTTACCTCACATTAAGCCGAACAAGACAATGCAGTTGACAACAGATGTCTGCTATAATTTGCCAACTATTTATTAAATTTTTAGATATATCTAGTTCTTCCAAATTTGGACATAATTCTTTTAATTCATTAGGATTACCAGCAGTACTGACACACTGTTCTCTCAACCACACTATTTTTAATTGATCAAATTTGCTTTGTTTTTTGTTTACTTTGGAAAAACCAACAACTTCCAAAAAGGGTGCATTAATTTCTTTTTGTAAGCTTGTCAATGTGTCTCTGTCAATGCCAGCTAATTCATCATTGATAAGACCATACCGAATTTTAATAGCTTCAGGACAAGAAATTCCAAATTTTGCTTTACCTGGTCGTATAAACGAACCTGATGTTGGATGTCTATTATGAAATAAATATATAATTATTCATATACAATTAAGCTATGGTATAACTTTACATTTCTATATAGTTTTACCTAGCTTTAAAATATTTTATTCCTTCATATGTACCATTGTGTTTTCCACGTGTTGGATCATCCCAATCTATACCGAGCCACAAACCTTTAGTGTCACCAACAGGGCCAACATACTTTAATGTACCTTGATGTCCATCACACACAATTCGGCTGTCAATTTCATATTTTTTATCTTCTACCATACTAAAAAAAATTTGAATGATACTTATTATATAATATATTTGAATCATATATTCTTTTCGTTTCGAAGACACAATTGGAAAAATGTCATTTTCATTTCTTTATCATATAATTTTTAATAATATATACTAGATGTATAATATATCATGTTGCGGTTTGAAACCTAACCTCGATATAATAGATGATCATTGAAAATTATGAGACAAACAAAATATTAATGATATAAACGAGAAAAGGTTGTTGCAGAATACTATTGCAAATAATACTTAAGTCAAATATAAGTAGCTATACAGACATGATTTAATCAAAATTAAAAGTCATATACGGTAATATGACATTTCTCTGTTGTATACAGTTAAAATACCTAGGAACTCTGTAGTAGAAGATACTCCACTCGCTACTCAAATAATGTCTTTATGTGTATGTGCATATGTGACACGTTGCTATAGATAAACCAATAGTAGTTTTCTATCTATATCTTTCCATTCATTAAATTTCACGCAATAATAAAATAAAATGAAATTACATTTATAGTTATAATAAAGCAGAAAAAAATTTATACGAATTGATTCTACAAAAAATTGATTGTTTAAAAATAAATATTTTGATTTTATTTAATTAATAATTAGATATTACATTATACATAAATTATACATATAACACAATATAATATAATAATTTACAAGTGCTATAAAATATACATAAATATGAATAATTACAATTTTAACATGTACATGTATATATACAATTATATATACGTATACATATACATAAAAATGATTTGGTTTTACATCCGATTGTTTTGTTCGATGAAATTTATACATTTGTGAATAGTCAAAAAAATTATTTCATGTAAAATACTTTATTGATTTGGTACTAGATTTGCAATATTTACTGGATTTAAAATTTCAATCCAATAACCATCAGGATCTTTGATAAAAGCAATTCCTTTCATCTTACCATCATTAGGTTTTTTTACAAATTCCACATTTAATCTCTCAAATCTTTCACATGCTTTTTCTACATCAGGTACTGTAATTCCAATATGACCTACAATATGTATACAATAAATTTTTGCTTTATATTCTATTTATATAATAATTAAATAGTATATTACCAAATCCTCTGGGTTCAGTATTCCCATTATGATATTTAGGATCAGGATCAGTTTCTGTACCCCAGTTGCTACAAGTAAACAGGCAAAATTAATTCTAATAAATTTAAATTAACATGTTAATTAAGCTATATGTATTTTTTCAACATACTGAGTAAGTTCTAAAGTAGCTTTACGACTAAATGTCCATTCAATACTTTCTCTCTTATCAGTAGGTATATCTTTTGGATCTTCATATCCCAAAAAATACAAAGAGAATTTCATTTCAGGAAAGTCAAGTTTCTGTAATAACTGCATACCAAGTACTTCGGTATAAAAAGGTAGTGACTTTCTTGGATCTTTAATACGATACATTGTTTGTTGCATTATATAACCATTTGTAGCTGAATCAGGCTTTTTACAAAGTTCTCGTGCCTCACAGTTTGTTAAACCTGTGTGCTCACCCATCTAAACAAAAAAAAAAATAGTAATAGATTTACTTAGATGTCACGTGATTTAATAATGTTGATAAAGTTATATAAAAAAAAATTCTACAGTTATATTTTTTTATATCTTTCAACTTTATCAACCTGTAGATAAAATGTTATCAGATCTCAAGGACATCTTTCATTTTTGAAAATATTTTTATAAAATAAAAAAAAAAGTAGAAAATTTTTCCAATAAAGTTAAAATATAATTAACTTAAAAATAAGAAAAACTATTCCAATAAATAAAAATTTGAAATTTATTTCGTATATATACATTTCACTAAAATTATATAGGTTAAACAACAAATGTGTGAATATTGTTAAGATGAAATTATCATACAAATAATGACACAGAGCACATATTATTATGTACCTATAATATTATCTATTGTTATGTATTACATTGTTTTTCGAGTGTTACCTTTTTAGAAAATAATAAATATGACGGGCAATTCTTAATTACACGCTGACACACAGAGCGGAAGTGTACGAAGATTTGCGCAAAAAGTGAAATATCTTTCATTGAGTACAACGTTTATGTAGTTGTGTTGTGCTGTCTGCTGCACTTCGATTTCCTTTATCTGTCAAATCGAGTAAATTGGCCTTAAATACTCGAATATTATCAAAGAGAATACTTTAATTCAAATTGTTAGCAGAATGGCGCATTGGTTTCATCGTAACGTGTTAAAAGCTACGACAAATCAAAAATTCGAATTAAAAATAACTGATCCTACTGATGCTACAAGAAAACTATGCAGGTTAGCTATATCTTTAGAGAAAGTAAACCAAATGTATTCAATTATTGTAAGTGAAAATGTATAAATATGGTCGATAAATGTTTTAAATATCATTGTATTATAAAGAATTCATTTCAAATATCAAAATATAAATTTATTAATATTATTTGTAATATTAACATAACAATTGGTTCGTTACAGCGATCTAAAATTATCAAGAAGTCGTCTCTTGGAATTAATAAAAAATCCAAATAATTCAAGCGATACCATAGAACCAGCTTTTCATAGCTATTTAAGCTTATTATATGGATTTATATGGGAAATAAGTTCTGCTGCAGAGCAATCTGAACATGTTGGCAGACCTAATCCTAGCAAACTTAGAAATGTTATTGTATATAAATGGACACATACATTATTGGGATCAAATACCTAGTAATATATTCTTTTATATCTATTTAATCTGAAGCATAGTTTCACTGTATTATGTAAAATATTTGTTATAGTTCCAGCGCTGATTCTGTTTATGAAGCAGCTAATATAAGCATGAATGTAGGACTTTGGTTTATGAAACATGCTGCAATGATTGCTGCTAAGGATGAGTAAGTGTAAATAATTACATATAATAATCATAAATGTGAAGTAAACAATATTATTAGAAACATTATGCATTATAATTTAGTATAACTATGAATGAAGCAAAGGATGTACATACTATGTTGAGACGGGCTGCGGGTATATTTACTTTTGTACAAACAGAATTTTTACCACAATTAGCAAATCCTCCGCCATTAGGAAGTGATTTGGATCCAAGAATAATAAATGCATATGTGAATCAATGTACAGCAGAAGCACAAGAAGGTTATACAATGAATATTATTTAAATTATTATTTAAATATTCATAAATATATTTAAAGTTTTATTTCCATCATATTGCAGTAACAGTAGCTAGAGCGGTGGAATTAAAACATAATGCCAGTTTAATATCAGCATTAGCTAATGAAACAAGTAAATTATTTCTGGATGCTGCTAATACATTACGCCCATTCAAACCAGAGATCTCAGCACAGTGGATTAAATATCTGGAGCTTAAAGCAGCATTTTATCAATCATATGTAAACAAATTATTGAGAAAAAAAATTAATATGAAAAGATTAAAATTTCTTTTAAACTTAAAATTAAACTTTTTAGGCTTACAATTATTGTGGTGAGAATTTATTAGCTATGGATAAATGCGGAGAGGCAATTAAAGCCTTGCAGGAAAGTGAAGCATGTTTAAAGAAAGCGAAGATGTTATGCCAGGAATATGGAAAAATAAATGGACCAGCACCTAGAGTAAAACCAGATCAGCATGCCGTATTTAAACGATTAGCACCTATAGTAAAACTTACTCTTGATAAATGTAACCGTGAAAATGGTTTAATGTAAGTGTTACATCAAATTAAAATATGCCATTTTTGAATAAGATTTAATTTTAATACTTATATTTTTGAAGTTATCATCATCTGATACCAGGAGAGGTTCCAACATTGGATACGAAAGCTACTTTTGGTTTAGTAAGTCCTATTGATTTTCAAATGCAATCACATCATCCTCTATGGAACTTGAATGTATATAGAACATTATCTGGATTAAACCCAGCCAAACTAGAAAAAGAGCAAAATTTACCTCCTGTTAAAGAAGATTCAATTCATCAAACTACCAAAGATCCGAAGAATGCAAGTGGATGTTTACTGCAATAAATAAATATTGCTGGTAAATAAGATTTAATGCTTTTTTATCATTCAGATATAAAATGTCATTGTAAAATTCTATATAATTTATTTTTTAAAATTTGCACATGCATTTAGTAAAATGCAAATTGACAATATAGTATTCAATTAGCATTTAAATGATGTTGCTTGTGTATTAAATAATATACTATATATTATAATATTACTAGTCTTAATTTTGATTAAGGATTACTGCACGAATTAAATTATTAACATAAACAGAAATATTTTAACATAAAATACACACTTTATTTTATTAATATTAATTAATTATCATTTACATTTGTGCAATTTAAATATAATGTGTGTATAATGTAATTGTTATATTTTTTCTATTGAATACATAAGATGTTTTTACCATTTTATTTGTATAAAATTAGAAAAATATTAATGATAAATTGTTTTTTTTTGTTATTTTTATGTCACTATATAAGCTAGTCAATGTCTAAAAAATTAGAATACTATGAAATATGATAACAAAAACTATCTTTCTATCGCGGAAATATATATAATAAAAAAATAAAGCTGTTTTCTATGAAATCTATTTTTACAAAAAAGGTATCTTATGTATCTACAATATAGTATTGATATTGTATATAAAGAGAAATTTGTTTTATATTTATTAAAGCTATGTAGACAAATGTTACTAATTATTAATTCGAATTTTATCTATATATTTTTAATTACATATATGTATATGTTTATGTTTTTTAATGTAAACTAAAATTTTTCAAACACTGCGAATTAAAATTCACAAAATAAAACATGCTATTTATTAAAAAACGTAATTTTTATTGTAAACAATTTGTACAACATACAATCTTATAAAAAGAAATATACAATTTTATGAAAAGTTTCTTTCGCTTAAATATCGCGCTATTTCTATCAATTTGGTAAATTTAAATTTTATTCTGTTCAATAGATGGCAGAATTCCACTTGTCCATAGACAAGGAGAGCTAGTATGCAACAAGAATAGATACATATACCTCATCTGTGTATATATTTTTTGTAACTAAAAGTGTGATAAAAATAATAATTAGTTCTATTTTCTCACTGCTACAATATTTTAACTAATATTTTAATTGATCGAATTTTCGTTTACAAAAAATATCAATTAAAAGTTTTGATTTATGATCCTCTATAATTATGTTTTTCAAATTAGACCTTCAATTTTCTTTCTATAATCTATTCAATCTTCGATAAAGATTTATAAATTCTAGAACTACATTCAAAATTTAACTCGAATTTGAGCATAGACATAATTGAAAGCATCAGTTCTAATGCTTTCAATATATGATTAATCGTATGAAAACATGAAGTTTATTATACTTTGTAGTTTTAAATCTGAGGTTTCAGCATAGATGAAGGTTTCAATATTCTCTAATTGCTTTCGAGGTCGGTATTTTAGAACGTGAGACATAAAGTTCTGTATTATATTACATCTATCCTACCTTTAGTCAATGCCTTATATCATTCAATTCAATTCACGATTGCATAGATAGCATGCGTACGTAACACTCGTAACTACAGTGTGAGTGCGATTCCACTTCCAGTGAAATCATTTTGTCCAGTGTTGCTTCATATAGTAGAAGAATGACATTCACGAGGATGTAGTTTCTTCCATATATATATTTTTAATTATATTCACGTTCTGCTGCAGTGTCAGTAACTGTGAAATAATCTTCAAACTTTTGTATAATAGACACGAGAATTCCGAAATATGCAATTTTTTCTTTTAAACAATTGAAATTGCTATATGTTCTTGTTAAAGATTACTTGCAAGTAGAGTGAAAGTTATTCGTGTCTTTGACCTAATTCAATTCTTTATGACCCTTGGGCATAAATGTATGTGTATTTGCAACATTCCAAATAAGCTTGTTATATAATAATTATTGTTGATAATATTATATTGTAATTAACATATGGAAAGTGTAGTATTTAAATTATCACAATGACAAGCACAGATATACGTGATATAATTCGAGTTGGATCTCGGAAAAGCGAGGTAAATGTATAAACATGTATATCTTATCTGTATATTTTAAGAAAAGGGAAAGTATGAATTTGCTATACAAAGTATAGCATTAATTAATACGTCAAAAATTTTATTTTAGTGTTCGAAAATAATAATAACAATGATAATTAAATAAATGCGGTTTGTGTTTATATTTAAAAATACAAGAATATTTTTCTTATAATTCTATCGTAAAATAATACTTTTCAACTTTAACAATTACATATCATGCGTGATATGAATGTCATAATACATGATTTGTAAGATATTGTGATTATTCCTTTTGACTCTACATTAGTCAGCAGTTTTTAACATAGTATTTTTTACGCCTTATATATTAGTATGTATTTGATATTTATTTTATACTACATCTTTTACTAATATAATGTAATATTATAATAAAAATATAATTTTATAAAAAATGAAATTGAATGTCATAATTATTTCAGTTGGCTTTGAAACAAACAAAATATGTAATAGAATGTTTAAAGGAATATCATCCAACAACAGAATTTCAAATAGGTAAGTGAAATTATATTTACAAATTTTTATTTCAAATATTAACATTTTTTTTATTAAAATATGTTCATACATTTGTTTATTCTAATACATATAAATATACACATATCTTTCTACATTGCCACATTAGATTTTTTTAAATCTTTTTATATTGTCATTATTAATAATCATTACACACATGTATACATACATATATCTCAAAATGTAATGTCTCATGTAATGTATAGATGTAGTAGACATAATATTCAAACTTATGTAAGAGATATCTATATAATTGTTTGATTATATCTTTATATACAAATAATTTGTTTCCATTAAGATTTTTTAATAAACTTTTGAATGATGATTTTGTAGTTACGATGGCAACTAAAGGAGATAAAATCTTAGATAAATCTTTACCCAAAATTGGAGAAAAATCTTTATTTACAGAGGAATTAGAACTTGCACTTGAAAGTGGTCGTGTTGACTTTGTAGTACATTCATTAAAAGATTTACCAACATCATTACCAGAAGGAATGGCGCTAGGTGCAATATTAAAGTAAGTATAAAACAAGGTTAATAATATTGCAGACTATTATGATATTCTACTAGTGTTCTGCTATTCCAAAATGTTGTATATCTGAAATTTAAATTAGCAATAAAATTACCATATTATTCCATACCATTACCATATAGTATATGAAATTACCATTTGTTTAAAGAAACATACTGCATATATGAAATAGACATAATCCTTATAAAAACATTTTGACTAAATTTTTTATATCAGACACTTTTATTTAATTTTAATATTTCTTTTATTTATATTTAATAGAAGAAAATGTTATTATGATATCTGATCCTTTTCATAATTGTAAATGTATTTTATACATTGAGTTACATTAAATGAAATAAAGCTTTCGTTAATTAAAATATTTTTGTAGACGTGAAGATCCACGTGATGCAGTTGTTATGTCTAAAAAATACAAAGATAAAACATTGTCTACTCTGCCAGAAGGTAGTGTGATTGGTACTAGTTCATTACGTAGATCAGCTCAATTGGCTAGAAATATGCCACATTTAAAAGTGGAAAATATTCGCGGAAATTTAAATACTAGATTAAGGAAATTAGATGACGAAAATGGACCTTTTGCAGCAATTATTTTGGCAGCTGCTGGTTTAAAAAGATTGAATTGGGAGAATAGAATAAGTCAGGTGATTTTTATTATACAAAATTCTTAAAATTATTAAAATATTTACAAAATTCTTACATATATTTCTGTATTTTTATTGTATATTGTATTTTAATATTGACAGCTGTTGGAACCAGAAGAAGCATTATATGCTGTTGGACAAGGTGCATTAGGAGTTGAATGTCGAGAAACAGATTGGAAAATATTGTCTCTTTTAGAGCCATTATATGATATAGAAACAACTTTAAGATGTGTTTGTGAACGTTCTTTTCTAAAGACATTAGGTGGTGGCTGCTCAGCACCAGTTGCTGTTTCTTCAACTTTAAAAAATAAAATTCTTACTGTTACTGGAGCTGTATGGTCTTTAGATGGGCAGAAACTTGTCAAAGGTACTTCTGAAAGTAAACTTTATATGCCTGATGATGATGGAGAACCTCCAAAGTAAGTGAATATATCAAATTTATAAATAAAATTAATAAATATATTATTATTTATATAATTTTCATTTATTATATGACAGAAAGTGTCCATATCGAGAACCACAATTATACTGCAGTGTTGCACCTGGCAAAGTAAGCAATTTAAGTCTTTTGGGTGCTGAACAGCTTGGTAAAGATCTTGGAAAAGTTCTTATAGAAAAAAATGCTCTAGATGTAATGGCAGAAGCAAGAAATACAATTTTAAATTCAAAATAGCGTTAATAAACAATATAAAAATTAGTTTTTCTTGATGATGAAAAAGAATCTTAAGAACACAATAGATATATTGGAAGAATATATATAATTTACAAATTTTAATTCTGATGTTTCAGTGATTTTAAAAATATAAGATCTGGCTTAAAATTCTATAATATAGCGTTTATTAACTATATTTAATTGCTCAGATTATATTATGTTTATTTTTTTATAAATGTAGAATGAATTGGGCAGAATTGATTGTAATATTGAATACAGTTTAAGTAAAAGCTATACACTGCCATATTATAATTTTGAAGTTATGCAGAATGTTGTACTATTTATGACAATTTTTATTATTACTATGTTTAAATGAAGTTGAACTTTTTATATATATATATAAATAATTCTATTTTTTTAAAACAAAAAATCATTATCAAGAAAACTAATTATATTAATATAAATATTGTGATGAATATATTTATGAAACAGTATATCATGAAAGATATTAAAAAATTATAGTTTATATTTTAATTTGGTAATCAATAATAATAAATTAATTCGTTATTAAATAGTGTTCGGATAAGACGATTCGTTTCAAATTGATGATCATACTTATTCATTATGATCTCTCGTTTTTTAGTCTTATTATGGAGACTTATCTTTTTTGATATTTTTTTGCTTCCTTTGACTTTTATTCAAGGTACATGTTCATTTATTTCCTCTGATGTGAAGGGAATTATTTGTACATACTTTGATTGAAAGCTATCTATATAGCAATGGTAACTGATCAGATAGCTTCATGGTTAATGAGTCAATGAAATAAATAGAAATAATATTTGTAAAATATTGTACATTGTAGTTACTATGTTATATATTGAGGGACATTAAAGGATATAAAATATTGTATACTGTATTTTGTTTTATTAAAAGAAAACTTTTTTATAAAAAATATTTCCAATTTTCAATTATGACATTACATCTCCTTTTTTGAAATAATTAAATAGAAATTGCATTAAAATATATTTGAATTTTTTAGTGGAAAGGTATTACTGTGTATATTTCTTCTTTTTTTATTAATAACATTTATTTATCTCCATATAATAGTTTTTTTTTTAAGAAAAACAGTTTTTACTTGATACTAAGATATAAACAGATTTTTTTTTTATTGCCTTTAGTTTATAAGAATAGAACATTCTTTATACAAAAAATAATTATAAAGTGAGTAGTATGCTAGTGAGTACCGTTGAAAATAATGTCATATACATATGCTTATAATGATACATCTATTATATGAATATTAATTTCATATTCACAAGGTAGAATATATATTTGCCTAAGTTTATGCAAATTCTATAAAATATATTCATATATATAGTCATAGTATTTTTAGTTATTAAGAAGCATATAAATGCTTCTAGGAAATAACATGTTATTTAAGATCACATTTCACATGAATTCCTTTTTAAGGGAGCAATATTTTAACATGCTACAACAACCAATACATAAAATTATTTTGAAATATCTACAAGACTAATTATATTAGTTTTTAAAATAAGATCAATTTGCTCCTTAATTACTTTTATAATTCTGCTCATTCTTAAAATTGTGAAACATTTAACAACAATTTATTATAGTTATATTGTATAAAGAGATATATAAAGAAAATCTTGTGTGACTAGACACCTTTCTATAGTTTGTGCCATTTATGCATCTGCTGCCATTTTAATTAACATATACATAGTCTGCACACTATAACTCATTATTGTAGCAGTCATAACTTTAAAAATAGTTGATAAAATTTTTAAATAGAAATTATATTTAGAAATTAATACAAAAATTTCTTCCATTTATAATTTAAATGCATATAAGTAACACAGTTTTAATTAACAATATACAATTAAGGAATATGGAAGTCTAGTTAAGGAGAACAAGACATATAATTAAAAAGTTTGACCAGATTAAAGTCACACAGATGTCTATATCATCGAAAAAAACATACACTTTCTACTAATAGTTCGATTTTATTTTTTGAAATATTCAACGAAATTTGCATAATATTTTACTCAACATCTTCCTCAGCCATTGCAATTTGACTTGATAGTTTCTGTAACAATAAGTGAAAAACCAAATTTTCCCCTTTCATTACCCCTATTAAAAATTACATTTAATTACATACCTGACTAATAGGTTGTAATCGCTGTAATAAAAGATGAAAAATTTGTGGTGGCAGTGTCTTTTGAAGAACTTGTAACAATTGTGCAGGCTGTCCACAAACTGCAACCGCATTTCCTAAATGTTCAATTCCTCCTTCTATATCACCACATGTAAGCATTTCTTCTCCTAGTTGGACCTTTAAGACATATTAAATATAATGTGATAAACGAAAAATTAAAATACTTATATTTGCTAGAAAATATAATATTACCTCTTGTAAGAAAAATCTTTGTACAACTTCATGATCTTTTAAATCTTGGATTTTTGAAGTAGCACTCTGAGCTTGTTTCTTTGCTTTTCTACCTATAAATATGAAATAATATTAACAAGGTTCATATATTTAATATAATATCAAATAAGTTATATATTGATATATTATTTCTAAATTCTAAATCAACTAGACTTCAGAACATTAGCAGTGAATTGAATGAAGTTTAATGAAACAAAAAATATAATTTTCTAAAAGTAATTAATTATCTTTTATGAATCATTGTTGTCATTAGAACGTCTGACATATATTCTAAGTCCTTTTTTATACAATCCTAAATAGCATCAATGAAACATGCATCACATGGTTTAGAAAAATCAGCTATTTAGGATACTATAGCTTAACTTACGTTCACGCAATTTCTTTTTGAAATCTGGATCGCTACGACGTTTCTGATCAAAATAAAAGCAATATCCAACAAATATTCCAGCTATGCCAACAGCAATACCCACTGCAGCTTTCGAAATCATGGTCATCTTAATAGAGAAATTTATATCTTATAATGACGAAATTTACAAACTCCTCGTTGCACATAGGCCACCCTAGAAAAGGCTGCGTCTGCTACCAAATGTACGGAATTTAGCTACAGAAAAAATATTTTAACATCAGGTTGCTGCATTAACATTGAAAAATTCCCTAGATTCATAAACCAGTCCATTCTGACTCCTTTCCATTTTGCTTCATTTTATTGTTTTTATATTAAACTTGAATTAACTAATTGACTGAATTAACTTGTAAAACTTGAATTAACTAATTGAACTGAATTAACTTGTAAATATTTTTTTGCTTTGTATTGTATATAGATCTTTTAAATTTAAAATATTCAGAGTTAATTTTTTTAATTATACCTTTAAACTAAATAAAAAATAAAAATTTGAGTAAGTTTTTTGATAATACACAAGAAAATCTGCTAAATTCCGAATCGAATATACGTACGGCTAGAGAATGCGCGCCAAAATACAGGTGTAAAGAACCACGAGTTTTTAATGAAAAATTTTAGCTACTTGATGTATTATCCGATTATATGTAAAGTTGTGGGTCAGTTTATTAGAAAATGCCATTAATAAAAAAACCCATGCGTTATGCGCATCCAGAGGGACATACGGATGTTTGTTATTTTATTGGTGAAAAGTAAGCAAAGTTATAAATACAAATTAATATTCTTTATTAATATTTTTAATAGAAATATTTTTTTATTTCAAAGGCAATTTCTTTACATTCTTAAATTAATTCTTTTGTTTAGAATTTTTTAAAAATATAGAAAAATAGGAAAAAGTTTAAAGTATTCAAAACATTATGAAGAAATATATAATTAAGAAAATAACATTCATATTTTTAGCAAAGGACTTATCACTTGTGGATCTGATGGAGATGTTCGATATTGGTTGAATCTAATGGATGATGATCCGAGTGCAAGCTGTGTCTCAGAACAAGCTATATCAGTTGTATCAAAGGTATACACATATATTAAATGAAAATGTTAATTATAATATAATTTTTAATTCTTTTCTAATACTTATTAGTTTTTAAAATATAGTTTTATAATCTTTTAATGATTTCAGAATGGAAAAATATTTGTTGGCAATGATAATAATACAGTCCAAATTCTTAATTATCCGGATCTTGAAAAAGAAGGAATAGTTACTAGATTTTCAGCACCTGTTTCAGCATTAGCAACAACAAAAGACAGTAATATTATAGTATCAGGAGGATGGTATATAAAACATAATGTAATAATTTATATTATTATAGTTGATATATTAGTTTACTTAATATGTATTATATTGTAGTGATATGAGAATTCAAGTTACTGATATTAGTACATCGAATAACATAGAATTAATAGGTCATGAGGCTCCTATATTAGGTTTGTCTTTGGATCCAAAAGAAGAGTTTGTGGTAAAACACCAAGTTTCATTATCAAGTTCTTAATATATTTTCTAGTTTTATACTTACAATATTTAATTTTTGCAGGCATCGTCAAGCGCAGATGGTTCAATACGAGTATGGAATATTAAAGAAAAGCGGGTTGTAAACATTTGGACAAATGTTGTGTCCAGATGTAACTCATTTTTTACAGCTAAAACATATGGTGTGCCTTCATTTCATCCTAAAGATGGAAGATATCTTGCATATCCCAATGTAAAGGATGTAATTATTGTTGAAAGATCTTCTTGGAAGGAATCATTTCGTTTAAAATGTATTAATATAAAAACTGTGCGTTTTTTTATTTCAATATTTTATTTAATATAACATGTATTCTATAATATTATCTCCATTTTAGGAAATTAATATATGTAAGTTTTCTGAATGTGGCACATTATTAGCTGCTAGTTCGGTACAAGGAGAAATAATTGTTTGGAATGTACAAAATGCAGAATTAATTGGCTATATTGAACATCAACAGAATACTAAAATCACAGCATTATCTTGGAACATTGATAAATCAGATGAAATTGCATTCTGTGATACTTTAGGTCAATTAGGATGTGTTGATGTTGTAAGTATATGTAAAACATACATTTTTGTTATTATTTTGTTCTTCGAAGGGTAATCTTTATTAGATTTTTTGTGTTTAGATAGTGCCTGATAGTGTAACAACTAATGAATTAACTTTAGAAACAAATGAAGATGTCAAAAATAGTAATCTTGATATTCCAGAAGAAGATGATGATGATGATGGTGAGACTGTTATATCTCTAAACAAAATCAAAGCATCAATAGAATGTGAGGATGATCAAAAAAGTCATTCTGATGTAGAGTCTGAAAAATTACATGATGTAAATACTTTTGTACCTGAAGTCCATTTACAGCCACCATTTCAACCTAGTTCATCGCCACTACATTTATTATCTCGATTTATGGTAAAATTTTTTTACTGTGTTATTGTTAAATATATACAAATACATACATATATATTAAAATGTTAATTTTCATATATAGGTATGGAATGATATAGGTATGGTAAGATGTTTTACTTCTGAAGATGGAGATGAATCTAGTATTGAAGTAGAATTTCATGATGCGACAGTTCATCGTAGTATGCATATCAATAATTATTTAAGACATACAATAGCTGCTTTGTCAACAGAGGCATTTGCATTGAATTGTCCATCAAGTAGTGACACACGAAGTAAACTTGTTGTAATAGCATTACAAGGTTAATATTTTTACTTTTTAGTAATTATTACTTTTTTATTTAATTTATTTAAGTAATCATAATTAAATTGAAAATAGGTTGGGGTTCTGGAAATAAGGAATGGTCTTTAGATCTTCCTGAAGATGAAGAAGGACACTGTATTGCAGCTGGTAATAATTTTGTAGCACTTGCAAGCTCTAGAAGACATTTAAGAATATTTACTGTAGGAGGCACGCAGCGTGAAATCATAGCTTTGCCGGGTCCTGTAGTAGCAATGAATGGACTGAATAATAATTTAGTACTTGCGTATCACAATGGAATAGGTATTTTTTTTACTTTGTTTCTTTTTACTGTATCATTTTTATTTTTTATTTTCTAACAAATGTTTGATGAACTCGAAATATTTGAATAGGAACATCAGGAGATCAGTGTATGAATTTATTGTTCATTCAAATTCGAGGATTAAATTTAATTAGTCGAACACTGCGTCTTCCTTTGTCACCATCATCAGAACTAATGTGGTTAGGAATTACTGATTTTGGATCTCCTGTAATAATGGATGCTGATGATGTTATTAGAGTATATAATAAAAAATCGTCTTTGTGGAGAGTGGCCAGTGATATGAATGAACAGGTGAATAAATATATTTCTGTATGTTACATTCAGTTCATTGTATTAATAAATTTAAAACAGTCTAAGGGTAAAGCAGACCATTATTTCATAATTGGGATAAGTGAACAACAAAGTATCGCTCGTTGTGTTTTGTGCAAAGGAAGCCATTATCCTCCAACTACTCCACGACCAGTAATTTCAGAAGTATCATTATCTCTACCGCTTTGTGAACTTGAAAGTGAAAAAACGGAAAAAGAACTAAAATTATGGAAGTTGGGAACCGATCCATCGGAAGAAAATGAAGCAGTATTGTCTCTTATTGCGGTAAATTTAATATTTGTTATTTATTATATTTAAAGATTAGTATATCTTTCTACATATTTATTTGTTTTATTTAATTAGCTCGCTTGCCGAAATAATTTGGAGTATCGAGCGGTAGAATTATGTGAACAAATTGCTTCAGAAAAAGTTATAGAGTTGGCAATTAAATATGCACGAAGAATAAATCGAATTGCTTTATCTAATAAATTAGAATCGATTGCTGACATGAAAGAAGAAGAAAAAGAGAAAGAAATCGAAAGTAAAGACGACGAAAATAAAAGCGACGATGAAGAATTGAATAATGATATTGAAGAATCCACACTTTCATTATCTATTACAAAAAAGCCAGATATAGAAATTAAACCATTATCTATGAGTGAAGCATTATCACTAAAAAGAAGTAATCCCTTTCTAAAAAACGTTAATTCTCCAGCGACGAAGGGTATTATTATTGTTATAAAAAAAAGGAATTGTTTTATTTTAATTATATTATTCACTTGAACTTTTTATTTTTAATATAAAACAGGTTTAGCTGGATTAGAAGTAACTCCAGAGAAACCTCCAAAAGTAACAACAACCATACCTTTAAAGTCAAAGACGAAAGAAGCAAAAGATGGTCCAAAAAGAGAAACGTTTATTAGTTGGTACGCTAAAAATAAAAAGAGCTTACAAGAAGAGTTTCCTGAGTTAAGTGCTGCTGATTTAACAAAAACTGCCTTGGCAAGATATAAAGAGAAGAATATAGGTTCACAAAATAATAAAACTCCGGAGACTTCGGAATCAAAAAAAAGAAAATTAAGTCCGGAGAGTGAGAAAAATAACGAACCAAAACGATTCTCGAGTAAAATACTTAATTCATTTGCATTTGAAAAATAAATTTATTTCAAATGTAAAAAAATATAGCTTTATAGCTTTATACAATTAATATTTATAATAATTTGTATCAGAATTATTACTATTTTTTTACTATGTTAGACAAAATAAATGTCACAATATTCTATTTTAAAGCATGTTCATATTAATTCATATTTGTTGTTTGATGTTAAGTCACAATCATTACAATTAATTACAGTATTTAAGCATGTCAATGATTTAAAAGATATGCACGAGATACACAATCAACGATATTGATAAAGTAGATATCTGTTAATCTGATATTTTTATCTTACTTGCCGTCGGTACCATTGCTTGCGATCTAGATCACTAAAACAGATAAAGAATAGTATTGAAACTTCTTTCAGTTTGTTCCAGCCTTTCAATAAGAGTTGAGGCTTTTAAAACTTAGATACGCGTAGCATCGTGCAGTAGTAAGTGTATAAACTGAAACAATTCGACAAAAATTTTCAAATACAATGCTCGAGGGGGCAATGAAAGGTAAGTTGATATATTTGGCAAGGTTCTACATTTATTCATGCTAGTCTTTCAAACACGACTGAATCTAAATATACTTCCAATTTTGTGATACGATACTGCGGCGTTACCGAGACACACATACGAAAAAATAATTGAAATTTGTTATATCTGTTAAACTTAAAACGTTAAAAGATCGTTGTAAGAGAAACATATTTTTGATAGATTTTATACATAATATAAAATATAAAAATTTATTTCTATTTTACTTCTAAAAAGGGCATATTCTTTTTAACTTTTGTAGTTGTAAGTAATAATTTATAATAAAAACCTATATGTGTTTAGTTATAAGTAATCATTTATAATAAAAAAAACTATGTATTTTGGAATCACGAAAAAAAGTATGCATTAAATTTAGTTAAATTAAAATTTTATCCATAAAACTTGTCAATTTATTGATCTAAATTAATTATAGTAATTAATTTTCATTTTAAGAAATATAATTTAAAAACTAAAAAGATAAACTTTCTTTGTTGCATAAAAAATAAATTTGTCATGAAATAGTATAGCACGTAAGTTTTAATTTTACAATATTATTTCTAAATTTTTAATTTTTAACTGCGTTTTAGACCAAAATTTATTACTTCATTTATAATGTAAAATACATTATGTATGGAGTTACATGACATGATCTATGATCTATCCATGAATTACTAATGACCTAATGTTGATACTTATGTATTTTTCATACGAAATATACACAACGAAATGTATATTTCTACAATATCTAGTGTTTATTTGTTATGTTTCTACGATCATAGACCTCGTCTGTGATTTCTATATTTCCAAATTGTTCGAAATGTATAAAAATGAAAAAAATATTGATGAATATTTATGTAATTATATTTATTACTGAATTTTATTTTTCAATGATATAAATTATTTTTTTGCAAAGATTTATCTAATTAATTTAGATAATAGTTCGAAATATATCAGAATCAATGCAATTGTAAAAAAAGTATTTGTGAATTCCAAATATTTAAAAATATGTTTATCAAACTTGCTGTTATTTTCCTTCTATCTATTTATACTCATTTTCCGAACGTCTCTGAATTTTATTTCAGATGCATACGTAGTTCGCGCATTAGAAATTTAAATGTTTATACACGTATTTTTTTCATAATTTATAAAAATTATAACTTCATATAACTATACACAAATAATATCTGTACATAATAAACATTATACTTCGACAAACATATGTCACTCGCCTATAATAATTCATATGAACCTTCCTCTGATTTCAAGATTATGTTGCAGTAATTTGAGTCGTATAAATACTACTGTTACACCACAGATGAGGTACATATATGAATAGCCTACATACAATTTCTTTGTTCTACAATTTCGGGGTTTTAGGATCTTTTTATCATTTTCGTGTCACATCCTATCATACAAATTTAGTCAAGTTTTGCACCGTAATACTGTTGAGAAATAAAATAAAAAAATATGGAAGTTGCCACTTCTGTTTCGAGAATTATTTATTGAAGTGAACATGGCAGTATTTTGTCAATGAAGGAATATAACGATTTAAAACAACGATGGAAATTGGAATGAAAAATTTATTATATATTTGATTATTAAAAAATTGATAAATTGAAAAATTGATTGATAAATATGATATTTTAACATAAAATAACATAATTAGATATGACGTCTTTTTCTTCCAAATGTATAAATTTACAGTTTCAATGAATTATCTTTATTCGCAAATTTGAATTTATAAAAGATTGGTTTATCGAAAAAATGTTTCTACAAATATTCTTTGGAATAAAGGAATTGTAAATTATTTTTTGCAAATCGTCCGCTTCGAAATCATGAAGTTAAATAATTTTCTTAAATGATATCATATACATATTTTCACATTCACGCACAATATTTTTACGTCAGGCAGTTATCGAATGGAAAGTTTTATCTTGCTCTAATAAAGTTCTGTGAAATTGTAAAGTAATTAACAATTAGTGGTCTTTCGTTTGTAAATTTAATCAATTTTGCGAGATATATAAGGATATATTTGTATTCTTCATTAAATTTTCAAATGACAAAATAATGATTTATATTAAATAAATAACAAAGTTTTGTTATTATTATAGGTAAAGCTGGTTTATAAAAAAATTTCAACGCTGTAATGGATTTCAAAAATCATATTTCTGGCGCATTCACCACTTGATCAACTTCAACTGTTTTACTTATTGTAGTTCCTCAATTTACCGTTGTTTAAGCATAAAGTCCGCTAAAAAACTATTTTACTATTATATCGGTATTTCAGAGCATGGAAACTCTCATAAGATACAAAATTTATTCATGTACCTTGCCTATGCCTGTGGTTACAATTAAAGAGTTGTATGTTACAATCATTTAATCAAAAGAATATTTGACAATGTTGATAAGTTACATGTAATATTTCCAATGTTATTGTATAAATATTTTTTAATAAATATTTGTATAATATTAATTGAAATAAAAATTAATGAAGAGATTTAAATTAAAAATAAATTTTAAATACAAAAATATTAATATTTTCCATCTATCGATAATAAAGAGATTATTGGCGGCAATTATAATTCAAATTATATATATATGATATTTCTTCTATTTCAATTTAATTTAGTCATTATCATTTTAATTTTAATTTCAATTTCCATTTGAACTTAATTTAATCATTATCATTTTAATTTTAATTTCAATTTCTATTTCAACTTAATTTAATCATTATCATTTTAATTTTAATTATTAAGATATGTAGATATGTTGATATGATGATATAAGATAAAATTATTATATTTAAATAATTGAGAATATTTTGTTTCAGAACATGCACCATTAGATGTGATACAAAATGCTATGGGTGTGATGGGCCCATGGCATATTGTTATTGCTGTGGCATTGTCTCTTGTAAAATTTCCAGTTGCTTGGCATCAACTTTCCATTATATTTCTTGCACCTCCAACTAATTTTTCATGTGCCGCACCAATTTCAACGACTAATGAATCTACAATATTAAAATGTTATGTAGATGTAGGGAATGGTACCATGAAGAAGTGTACAAGTTTTAAATATGATAAGCGCATATTTAAAGAGAGTATCATAACTCAAGTAAATTAAATTTCTAATTTATTATCCTATTTCAAATATATGAATTCCCATAATACTACATATAATTATTTTTAGTGGGACTTGGTCTGTGATAGAGAACAATTAGCAAATTTTGTACAGTCTTGTATAATGTTTGGCGTTCTTATTGGTAATTTAGTGTTCAGTATAATGGCCGATCGGTATGATAAATGTTATTACAACGCAATAAAAAGAATAAATATATACGTATAAATAAAAAAAATAATTACTAAAAATAAATTTTCTTTTTTTCAGAATTGGTAGGAAAAAGCCTCTAATGATTGCTTTAGGATTACAATCATTAACTGGATTTATATGTGCATTTGTCCCATGGTTTGAACTATTTGTAATATTTAAATTTATTTCTGCTATAGCTACAGGTGGTACTATGCTTGTTAGTTTTGTTTTACGTAAGTAATTAATACATTATATAAATAACATAATATTTATAGATTTATAGAAGTGTATAATTTAATTTATGTGTTAAATTATAGTTATGGAGATTGTAGGAATAGAATGGCGTTCAATTATGTCAGTTCTCTTTCATGTGCCATTTTTATTAGGTCATTTAATGAATCCTTTAATTTCATATTTAACGCACACATGGGATGGTTTTCAAATGGCGGTTTCCATACCATCACTTTTCTTATTATCATATTATTGGTATGTAATGTTAATTATTGAATACTACTATTCTTGATTTAGAAACTTTATTAATATCAAATATTTCTTTGCCATTAAGTTAGAATAGACTCTAGACATATATTTATATATTATAGGATTATACCTGAATCACCAAGATGGTTACTTGCTGTTGGCAAATTGACAAAAGCAGAGCAAATTTTAATCAAAGCAGCAGGTAGAAATAAAATACCAATAGAAAATGTTAAAACAGCAATTGAAACATATGAAAGTAATGTGGGACTTCGTCATAAACAAAATAAAGAAAAATATAATATTACACACTTGTTCAGAACTCCAAATCTAAGATTAAAAACTATTTGTATATGCTTTAATTGGTTTGTGTGTGGCAGTTGTTTCTTTGGATTAGCACAATATATGGGCTATATTGATGGTAACATTTTTGTGAATGTTGCTGTATCTGGTAAGTTTATGTAATACCTATTTTCATTTAACAAGAATACATGTCTAAAATTTGATCTATTATTTTTAGCTGCTGCTGAACTACCTGGAACTATGGTAGTTTTGCTTTTAATATCACGTGTATCACGTTTAAAAATTTTAATAAGTGGGAATCTTTTATCTGCTGCAAGTTTACTATTACTAACTGTGATATCAAATTCAAATTTCACAGTATTTTTAGCTACATTAGGTCTTGTAGGAATGTCACTTAGTTTCCCAACAATATACTTGTACAGCAGTGAAGTATTTCCAACTGTAATCAGAAATGTTGGTGTTGGTTTAGGAAGTGTCTGTGCAAGGGTTGGAAGTATAATTGCACCATATATTGCAACAATGGTAATTTTTCGTTTTTTATTTAATTAAATAAATAATCATAATGTATTGAATTATATATATATTTAGGGAAAAATTAAACCTTGGTTACCACCATTAATATTTGGATTTGGACCATTATTTGGTGCTTTATTATGTTTTCTACTGCCAGAAACAATGAACTGTGAATTACCAGAAACTATTGAAGATAGTGAAAATTTCGGGAAGTAGGTATAAAGTACCATGATTTTAATTTGGATTACTACTTTTAAATAATTTTATAAATTCCGATTATTATCACAGGAAACAAATCAGAAAAGATGCAACAAAATAATTGAAGTTATTAATAAAAGAAAAACATAGTAAAACAATGAAGCAGACTCTGCTTTTTAAAAGAATAAATTTAATATATTTAATATAAAAAAATTACATTAAAAGTTGTAATTGTATATATATTTTCAATTATAATAAATATATAATATTTTTATAATTGGCAATTTAATTCATTCTTTACATTCTACCAAATTATTTCAACAGATATATAATATATACAATATTTTGTAAAAAATAATTTTAACCATTATTTACAGTAATTATGTAGTATATCATGAATATATTTGATCTAATGTAAATGTCTTAATATATTTTATATACAGTTACTTTACAGATCTTTTCATGCTATACTTAAAACTTATATATTTATATTATTACAAGAACAAAATATGTGATTTTTTCCCTAAAACTACCTCATTTATAAAATGTAAATAATATTAAACAAAACATGTTAAAACAAATCAGCCTTTGTATATATAATTATTAAGGTAAAAAGATTAATTTGTTGAGTATTTTATAGTCTAAAATATATTATTTAAGTTTTTCTATGTTCTGATCTTTTGTTATTCTGCAATGAAAAATATTTTCTGTTATACTCAGACCAAAGTTTAAATAAAAATACAAAAGTTGAGATTTTGGTGGGTTTTACACTTTAATAGAGATATAAATATAATTTAGCTTGTAGTTTGACCTAAGTAAAATACTTTGTTAGGTAGAACATTAACTACTCCACTAGTCTTTTTATGAACAGCATCAAACATATGGTTACCATACTTGACAGTATTACTAAGAGATCCAAGCCACGAAGACATAATATTCTTAGATGATGGTTTTTCTACATGAGTTGTTGTACCTAAAATAATTTATTCATTTTATAATATATGTGATATTTATAAAAGTTTGTAAAATGAAAGACTTACCCATAAAAAGCTTGATTGCTTCGTTTACTACGTCTGGTTTTTGTTGGTGTGGAAAATGTTGTGCTCCTAAGATCATTTTCACATTAAAGTTTTTAATATATTCAGAACTTTGTACAATACTCTCTATTGTTACAATTGGATCCATATTTCCAATTATAAGTAAAGTTTTAGTAGAAATTTGATCACAAGTATCTGTATTAAGTCTTATAAATGGAAGATTTCGATAGTAATTGATTGCACCTGTCCAATCCTCTGTAATTGACCATTTTGTCATTTTTTGTATATACATAACAGACATTCTTGAAAATCTTTTGTAGTTATTTACCTTTCCTACTAAATGTATACTTATAAGCCTCTACATAATCTTTCTCACTGTTTGTATTATTTAGTTGAAGATGTTGAAATGCATCATTTATGATTGATAAATCTTCTTTAAGAGCATCAATCTCAGGTAGAAATGGTAATCTACTGAAATGTATCCATCTAAACAGTAATATACGTGAATATATTTATGTTAGAAATAAAATATTTTAGAAAACATATGTTGTAATAGTTCTACTTTAAATCAAAAATGGAATCTCCAGGTGTCCTATTCCAATAAAAATTAGGGTGTGGACACGAAATTGCAATAAATTTATGAATCATATCCCCATATAGTGCCACCATATACCATCCTAAAAGTCCTCCTAAATCGTGACCAATTATGCTGCATTGTTTTACTCCGAAAGTTAAAATAAATTGTTTCAATTCTTCAATCAAAATTTGTATTTTATAATAACTTTTAGCTGCTGGCTTATCACTGTCTCCAAACCCCTTCAAATCTATTGCTATTACTCTGGATGAATAAGAATAAGATTGTTATGAAAAAAAGTAATCTTACAATTTTACCAAATATTAAGGACAATGAATTTTAAACCTATAATGTTGAGCAAGACATGGTATTTGTTCTCTCCAAGACAACCAACAATCAGGAAATCCATGTAAGAGTAATATAAGTGGATCATTTTTATTTCCAGCTTCTACATAGTGGAACTTTACACCCTATAAAGAAAATAAAAATTTTTTAAATCTTGAAATAAATTTTGATTTTTATAGTTTTCTACATTTTTATTATTTTCTAATACTATTAAATTAGAAATGTATTTTGCTCGATGGGAAGAAATTTCAAATTGTCATTAATGTGAATAATGAAAAATTAATAACAAAAAATAAAAAAAAAAGGTATAACGATAATGAAAAGATTGACACGAGATAAATTGAATGTACGCCATATTTAAGAACGAAATTAACACAGGTGTTTTCGACATCTCTTAAAAATATATTATAATCGTATCTATCGATCGAAATCGAACGTGTGCATCAAACTAGTAGGTTGCTAGAGTTCACCATTATATATTTTTTGGATGCTTTCAAATGAAATGTTTTTCACGTTATGTGCGATATTGAACTATAATAGATTATGCTCTTACCTTGATTTTTACATAAGAATGAGTTCCTAAATTATTGTCTACGAGACAAAGTGGAGGTTTATCTCGTTGTTGCATCATGAAAAACTTCTTGGGATTCCAGACCCATTTAGGAAATCTTTTCACTATTAAGCACAAGCCATACACAAAAGAAAGAAGATGTAATTTAACTATCTCCAAAACTGATACATGTACAATTTTATCATTTGTAATCATGATTATTACAAAAACAATGTTCGCGACTTCGTGATAATTTTATGCTAATTATACACTGGAATAAATTTATAATTTTCAAATCTTTATATATATGTACATATTTATACCCGTACAAATGTACGTTTTGAAATAGTGTATCGACGATCGTGATCAAGAAATTAATCAAACAATTCTTAAAGTTTAATCTAAAGATATAAATCGATATTATTCACGACGTTAATCATATATAAAACTCTCCGCTTTTAGCAAAGTTGATGACAATGTATTAGTGACGAAAGTTTTCATCTTTATGTAGATCAGAGTAGAGGTCATCATGAGAAGTACAAGTATGGACCTTCTTATCGGATTCGTGTTGAACGTCAAAATGAATTTTACTAAAGAGTTTCTAGAAATTTTATTTCTTGAAAAACACTTGCGTGACGTTTACGAAGAACTGTGAGTTCGCATCTTTGTCACACATTGCACATACAACTGTACGAAATTATCACGTAACATTGAATATATTCTTGTTTATCAAAATTCTTTTTTAAGATGATTATTTCATGCACGCCTGATTTTAAATAGTTTTTGTTCAATTAATTCCATTCTTTTTCATAATACGTAATTAATAGAATTTATCTTTATAAGAAATACAAACGAGGTATATGAATATGCCTTGCTGTGTAAGAAATTAGTATCTAATTAATTTAGAAAACAAAAATGATTTAAATGATTATATTCAATCATTGAATCAATATTTTTTCTATTACCTATTTTACCGGTATGTCAATGCTATTACAGATTATTTCCTTATCAATACTAGATAATTTCATGTTGATGGTAATGCAGGATTTTATTATTATCTCTATTATTTTATTCGTATGCTTTTACATTAGATTTATATTATTTACATATAAACATGCAATTATTTTAATAATTTGATTATTAATGTTAAAATTGTTTTTAATGTACCTGCTTAAGAAATATGTGAATTAGTTATTTTGATTATTGTTTAATTTCTTTTATTTCAGCAATGTTAATTTTATAATATTCATTTTTAATTAGTAATTTAAAAATAAAAATTTTTAATATATAAAAAAATTGGCAGCGGTGGGATTCGAACCCACGCCCCCGAAGAGACTGGTGCCTTAAACCAGCGCCTTAGACCGCTCGGCCACGCTACCACCTACAAAATGATTTTTTTAGAATATTTACATATCTTCAATTTATAACATTAATTACAATTTCTATACTTTTTTATACTTATTGAAAATGAAATAATAGAATACCTAAATTTACACTTGAACCTCTCGAACTCTCATGTTTCATTTGTGTATAACTTAATAATTTGCAACAATTTCCCATTTTTGTCTACTGCAAATTTACGTTACTGTACATAGCCTTCATCGTTAAAAATAACCTTGCACGACATTGAAAACGTCATTACATAACCTAAATTACGGTACATGCGATAAAAAATACACTTTGAATTCATTGGTGTATATTTGCGTCGTTGAATTCTTACTTACGTCATAGTTTTTATAATCTGTGGCGTATTGCAATCCAAGATTAGGACCCCGCCGAGAAACAAATTCATAGTTTGTTGGCCACATGTCGTGGGCGTAGGTACCGTGGATTAAACAAAGGCAGTCTTCGGGCGGAGCTTTCGATCGCGTAGCTGGCGCATGCGCGCCACGCTCTTCGCCCCCTACGCGCATCGTATTCTGTGAATCAGCATGTGGTACCTACTACAGAAGCGAGAGGAGCTAACGCATCCCTATTTTTTTTCACACTTCGCGACGGCCATTTTGTACGCCGACTTAATATTCGCCTCTCATTTTCTCCCTTCGCATCTGTAACTTTATATCAGCACGATGAAGTTCAATTGTCACGCTGGTGGTCCTTTGTTCTCCACGGTCCCGCACCATAATCGAGTCAGTTAGCGCCCTTATGTAGCGAATACTAACGATTGCGGAGCGGATTAGTCATCGATCGGTAACAATAACCGATCCCCCATTTTCCTTTCGCGACAGATAAATTATGGAAAGTGAAAGTTAATCCAATCAGATCTTGGCGATCGAATGTTGTTTTGACAAAGTATAAACAGTTGTAATAAGGTTTCCTTGTATTTGTAGGTAAGTACTTAAGGTACTTGCTGACTTTCTTCGTCATTTTGAAACTGAAGACAATTCAAGTTTTCATTATTTTTTTTTTTGTGCCATTCATTCTTTCGTTTGCTCTGTTCTTCTTTATTCAATTACGTAGGTATATATTTAATTATCAACTTGTAATAATACGTGTAATACGTTCAGATTCACTTGAAAGGTAAAAGGAACGAAAATCTTTAAATATTCTAACGTACCTTGAAAAATAAGAAAATGTTGTATACATTGAGAATGGATTTATCGATCGAGCCTCGGAAATTATTTTTGTTAGAATTATTATTGTATGCTCCAATAATATCATATTTTCATCTTTTAAACGCGACAGATAAGTCTAATAAATATGTACGTTTTCATAATCAATTATTTAAATCAAAATACATTCAAATACATATGATTGAAAAGGTTTTGTTTACATAACGCGTAATATAACAGATAAATAATCTCTATCTGCATTCTAAATGTAATAGGTGCGTGTGATATGTATGTTCGTGTCAAACGACTGTCATTGTGAACGATGTTTAATTGAATATTTGACGGTATTTATAGTAACGATAAGGGAGTTGATTAATCGAGACGGGAACCATAATGGAAAGTCGGAGTGTAGCAGTGGTAGCGCGAATGCGACCGCGTGTACGGGTCTGAACAAGGCGTAGGAACATCCTCGTGGTGAATTAATCATTTCAACAGCTGCTGTCGCATTAGCGAGAGCGGATAAGACAAATGAACGTCGTGGAGCTTGTTAAGACGTAATCCGAGAGATGCGTCTGCGTCTCCTCCCGCTTCCACCTTCGTCTCCGTCATCCTTCGCTACCACCGTCACATCCGTCGTCTCATCCGGGATTAGACGCTTGTGTATTGGGTCGCCATTTTGCTCGATGATCCTCTATTGTTTACAGACCAGCCACTAACCTTTAGTTCCTTTTACTTTACTTTACTTCAGTTCTCCATCATTTAACTTCAACTTTGTCTAAACTAAGCACAACCATGTCAAATTGTTGCGCTACGTAAATGTCCTGTATTGACCTCAGATTGAAAATTTCTTCACATTTTGTTCAATAATCATGCCTAATAATTATACAATCAATAATTATTCGTTTGCTTTATTTGCAATTGCCGTTTCTCTTTTCGCTTCGTGTCGTGCGAAATCCGATTATCGTATTGGAATCGTTGAAAGTCTGTCAAGCTTGGACTACGAAAAAAATAGTCTATTATTTCAGGAAAAGGCAAAGATACGATCTCCAGAGGTTCTTCTTTCAAGTTGAACCTTGTCAAACCCGATGTTCTGTCGTCAGTATTCATGGGTTGAATGGTATTCCGATGACAGATAGCGTTAATGCGGGCACCATTGAACGATGTTAATGCAAAACACACGATGTGATCGTAGTCCTGTTAGAAAGAAAATGGTTACGGTAGCGAAATAGATATTAGATACGTTTATTCGTATAGTTTAAGAAATTATATAATAACATATTGTTTATCAATTGTTGGAGTACCTACCTATATTTTTGGCCGAACCATCTATTTTATAAATTGGCAATATTTATATAATAAAATCCCGTTTACCGGAGCCTATGAAGACAAGCAGTTTGTGTTTAGCTAATTGTAAGTGAATCGAGCCAACTAAAATACATTTAAACTACCTAAAATTTCGGTATACAAACAGTTTCAGTTGTTAAATTATTATTTACGACTTAATGCATCGAATGCTTTCGTAAAGAAATCTGACGATTTTTAACTGTAATAAAGGATATTCCCCTTTCTCGAATGTGATAGATATTTAAAAAGAATTTTAATCATCACGCGGATGCATTAGCGTGAGACTTTGTCAGTTTTCGTATCTGTCTCTGTATAGATTTCGACTTTTCAAATACAAGTACGTAGCCGAAGAAGTTCTTGGATTCTACTTCGCTTTTGTCAAGCCGAGTATTGCGCCTCTCCATTTTGTCATCCCCTAGCGGGGTTTCAATGTTGTAACCATGGAGACGTCGCGTTTCCGCAAGGGGAACGTATAAAGGGTGTCGGGCGTACGTAGGCAAGTATGGTGAGGCTACCATTGTTAAAATTCGTGGCTGTACTACGTGTCCAATTTGATGATAATGAAAATACGATACAGTTGTGAGCATAGTGTGACTGATGTGTCTCAGCCTCGTCTAACTTTAAAATTTCCAATTTTATTTTTGCTACTGTATTACCTCAAATGCTGTTTGCTTTTCACCTTTCTTACCAAACATTCTTCTATGTTTTATTTTTATTTGTAAAATGGAACATTCGGTAAATTAAAACGCAGCTTCTAGGATTTATAATTATAATCTTCTCGCGTAATTTGCGAGTTTGCGAGTTGGAAAATGTCGTGAAGGAGAAGGAGAATGATTGACGAGAAAATTCGCACTCGAGCTCGTCAATCTTTCAGCGTTTATCGGCGCGTCCTCGCCGTTAAATAGCCAATGAGTTTCATAGGAGCCATTAAGGGGTCCTTGATTCGTAATGAGACTCTCAAGGAGAATCTTATGATTATCCCCCATTAGGACAATAGAGAGAATAACAGTAATCCAGTCTAGCGGACGTTTCATTCGGAAAGTAACGTAATTTTTAACGTACAAACTCAAATTCCAAAGCATCGACTATCTGTCTAACAAATTTCGCACAACTAACACGCTTTCTTTCTCATAAAGTCTCGTAACGTTCGTGTGAAACGCACGGATGTGTAGGTATACGAGCGAGAGGAGATAGAGAAAGAGATTGAAAAAAAAAAAGAAAAAATAATCGACACTTTCCAAGCGAAGAAACCATTTGTTAGTTCTGGGCCATGTCACGAACGCAATTAGTGAGTGATTCGTCAAGCACTGCGAAGTCCTCCACAGTAATAGCGAAGGGCTCTTCAACAGCTCGAGTACTCTTCCGGTAGCGACTGCATTTTGATTTGTGCTTCAATGTGCTTCCTTAAAGTGCAAGTTCATACAAACCAACATTACTACAACGGTCACCATTTTTTCTTTTTTTCTTTTTACCTTTCTTGGACCGATTTGTTCCTTTCTTTTCTCGCGCGAATGAACTGCACGCCACTATCGGTAGTAATACGGTAGACTAGGCACGCACACACAGGTTCGGGGTACGTTAAGTTAATTGATCGGAGAGACGAAACGAATTTTTGTAATTAAATTCGTGAAGAGAGACCGAGGCGGTCGTTAATGTTTCACGCGCGTGGTTAATAGCAGCAGCAGCAGCGCTCATCCGACGGAAACTAACGTATCGCCCAAACTAACGCGCAACTTCTAGCCTGCTTTTCGAATTTTCTCCGTGCATTGACAATCACACAAACGACCAGTTCTGGA